TATCATTTTGCTTTTTCTTAGATGGTGTATGCTTTCTTGTAACGCAGGTATGATTTGAAATAAATTTGCTTTTTTATTTACTTGAAGGTTGAACTAAAAACATATTTTGTGATTGAAGCCTTACAACCTTCTCCGCGATCTTATTGCATTCCACGACCAAGTGATGTACCATGCTCAAGAAATTATGATTGTGAATGCTATTCAATGGCAATGGGAGGAAACATATGTGCCAATTCAATGGTTTCTTGCTCGGATCTGACATCATGCAATCCGGATGGCGTCACATGTTCTCAACCAAATACAATCTGTGTAACAAATAGTCGATGCCATCGACGCGTTTGTTATCCGATTATTATGGCTGATTCGCAAATACAGTGTCCTCCACCAGAACCAGGTCAGTAGCTCAATAACTATCTATCCGAATGTAGTATGTAGGAATATTCTAGCAACAACAACAAAGGCTCCTCTTCCTCCTCAATGTTGGAATTATACGTTGAACACGGATGAAACTCGACATGTGACATCAACTTCAACACCGAAATGTGACCCTAACGAGTTTGGTTATTTACCTCAGTGGGTAAGATTTTCAGGTGCAGCTGGAACAATGATGGCTACTAGTATAGTGTCTCCAAATCGTTGTGGTGCATATTACACTGGTTATTACACAGGATCGATGCCGACACAGCCTGGTGAAACCGTGTCAGGAAATGTATGTTACAATTGGTCTACTAATACCTGTTATATGTCTAATACAATATCGGTCACAAATTGTAATAGTTTTTTTGTTTATGCCCTTGTTCGAGCACCAAACTGCTCTGGGCGATATTGTACCGTTTGAATAGCTGACAAAAAAAATCTACAAATACCTTAAGAGTGTGCGACTATATATATACTCATTGGTCTTCAAAATAAATTTGAATGCACTTACTTATTTTCGTATCGAATGCAGACTAACTTCAGTGATATAAAATTTATGCCAATTCATCAAAGACCATATAAGCAAATCTGTGATCTTGTATTACATACCTGTTCATAAATGAACATAACCATGCTTCATAGTATTCTCTTTACTCTTTCTAACACAACTTATGTTTTTCTGGCACATTTCTTTAGGTGAACGTATTTCCAAAACGAAATGCTAATCTGTGACTAACTTTACCTAGGCACAGCAGTACAAGTAAAAACAAATATGAAAATAAATTAACTTGAATAAATAATTGAGAAAAATTAGAATGCTCGATTAAGTGATTCCCAATGTTGATCTAGTATGTTTTAATTGTTGGTTACTAGATTGCAATGAATATCAATTGAATTCTTCATATAACTTTGACGTTCATAAATAACTTTCATCTTCAAAATGACCCAATGTTTTCTATTCGCAGTGATGACAACGTGTTGCATTCACACTCTCTTAAAAGCACGAAAAAAAAGGCATTTCAAATGAAGACACAACCATTCAGATTAATCTATTTCAAATTCATTAGTTTTTTAACATAAAAATACTGAAAGTCAGATTTCGAAATACTTTAGCCTTTGGTCTATTTTGATCAGATAAAAACTCCAAGTATTTTCGCTATTTTTTAATAAACATCTAATCTTAGGATAAAACTATTTCAGAAACATCACTTTAGTTCATCATAATAATGAGTATTTTGTAATGAATATTGTCTTCATTTCAATGAATTTTTAAATTGACTTTTTCTTTAGATATTGATTATAATTAAAATAGCAGCCTTTTTTCTTCAAATTTTATTTTCAAAATTTATCAAAACAATGAATGATGATTATTCCTTTATTTTCCTGAATTTTGTTAATATTGGAAAATCTGTTCTTGATTTTGTTTGGTAATCATAAATGAATGGAGTCAAGTTATTTTTTCATCATATAGGTCATTGAGGTACTTTATTCCGTCAATCGTTATAAATTGATCTTGATAAATCATTGACAAATAAAGAAAGCGCTTCATAACTACATATCAATATTTTGACAATAAACCAACGTAGAAAAATATACGCATAACTAATATATTAAAAGCTTTGAATAATAAACAGTACCTATGCCACAATAAACGGTCGAACATCGTTGGTTGACCGCAGTTTTTCTACTTCAAGTGTATGAGTTGGTGATATGCAGAGATGTATTTTACCCATGAATTCACACTCACAATTAAAGCTAAACTCTTGAAGTTCATCACATAAGACACTACTCAATTAGATAAATATCATCTGTCAATCATGTCACATTCTTTCTTGAATCAGAACGGCAAAGTAACCACAGCGTCGTCTATCATTCGAAAATCAAATGTACATACACTAGCAATACATCTAGTAAAGTTAATAGAACTCAAATTCAATAAATTGATCTATATAAAAATGAAATATATTCTCTTATGTGTATTATCAAGTTCATTTACAGATCTTTAATCAGATTTATTTCTTTAAATAAGATCAGTCGGAATGCTTGGAATAATGATGTAAAACATAAAGTAAAACAAAATAAAAATTTCGATTTCAAACACAAAAAAAAGTAGAACAAAATTGATTGTTCAATCGACCTGACTAGCCATAACAGAAAAAGTATCGATCTCAAGCTATTAATGGACTCTGTTCATTATTTTCATTTTCATTAGAGACTGCATTTGTGGTATGGATCTCGTTTTGTCCTTCTTGAATTATTTCATGACGATTACCACCTACATTAGTTTTCCATATACTTAATATCATTAGAATCGTTAAAGTTGCAACACCAACTGGTATAAACGTTAATATATATCTATAATATAATGCACATCTAGTTGTTGAAGCTAATATACATGGATTGCACTGTTGAATAACAGCAATAACTATGCCATTAGCAAGTTTATCGGTAAATGACATTATTCCATACACAAATGCTCCACATTCTGTATTTAAACCAATTAAATCTGATGCTAGTGAAAAAGAACAAATATTTGTTGTTGATGTTCCAATACCAAGTAAAACACAAGCTGATATTAATGCTATTTCAATTCGTAGATTATCTTTTAAATCAAAAATAAACCAAAATAATATTGTACTAGATAATGTAAAACAAAGGCCAAAGATAATAGTCGGTTTTCTACCTAATCTTTTATTTATTGCACGCATAGGAAAAGATGCAAGTAAACCACTAACATAAGAACATAATGGAGCAATAGCAACAAATACTCGATTTAATGTTGAGATTGTATCAATTATATACAATGGAAGAAATACCTTAAAAAGAAAAATAGGATGAGAAAATTCTATATAAAATATTTGCTATTATAATAAAGAAGTGTGTGATTTAATTTTCCTGAGTTCACACATGATGAGAACTTGAAATTTCTGACTTTAGATTACGAAAGTACATACTAATCTTTTTTATTCGAAGTACATATAATATAGACATACTCTATATTCACCTGTGTAACATTGAGAATAACTCTCGCACACATCCAAATAAATGTACATTGATAAAATTCTTTTTCACGTAAAAATTTTTTCCATGTCATTCGTTTTAATCTTCCACTAGATGTTAATGATAATTGCAAACGATATTCTGTTTCTTCAGCTGGTTGTTCAGATTCTTTTAAACCAACATGAAATATAATCATACAAATAAGACCAATACCAACAACAATAAATGCTAATGTACGAAATATAGGTGCATCAGCTGATGTTATATCGGTTTCATCATTACTTGGATGAAAACCTAATAAAACACTAGCCATTGTATAAACAAATATATTTGATATAACAGTCCAAGCATAACGATATGAATTAAGTGCAACACGTTCACCATCTTTATGTGTTAATTCATTAATCATTGCTCTAGTTAAAATATAAATTCTACTTTCGTACTTTGATATAAATAAAACACTTACAAATGTGTAATTTGTGAACATGACCAACCAAATTGAAAAATAATAATAAACATTGTATAATAAATAAATTTTGCCCATAAATCACTATATTTACAACCAACACATAAATTAAAACAAAATGGAAATGAACTAAGTACACAAATAACACCAATAAGATGCCAAGTTTTTCGTCTTCCATAATGAAATAAACCAGTTCGTGCACGATCAGATTCAAAACCAACAAATGTTGTTGATATAGCATCAGCTATTTGTCCAATTAAAAGTAAATAACCAGCGGATGCATTTGAAAAATTTACAACACGATGATAAAATACAAGTAAATATGAAAACCACATTGATGCACTAAGATCATTTAGAATATGACCAACACTATAAGCAAATTTAGATCGTTTTGAAACCACATCCTGTTCGGATATGACCACCTCCATGATAATCTATAAATATATGAATAGAAATGAATCAGTAATAAAGAAAACAAAAATGAACTCTTTCTATTATTGAAAATAAGGAAAAATACAAAATAAATTAACAGTACAATTCGTATCCTCATTAGTTCAAAAAGAAACATCTTTAATTCAATCTTTTATATTTAATAAATCATCATGATAAGAATAATCTTTCTTTCAATAAATTCTTAGACAATCAATAGAAGTTCGTAAACGTTTCAATTGTTAGATAGTAAAAAAAAAGAATGTATATTACTAGACAGAGTCTAGTCAATTACTCTGTTAATCATTCAATAGGAAAAAAAAAGACGAAGATTATATTTTATAATTCACCATTCGTCACGATCTCACACATGTTTTTTGATACAGAAAAAAAAAAGAAAGAATCAAGCACAAACACACACACACAAACACACGCATAGAAAGTTAATCGAATTACCGGTTGAGTTTTTCAGAACAACAAAAAAGAAGAAAGTTTTTCCATAAGATACGATATATGCTAGCAAATGAAAAAGATTATAAATAAATGAATGATATCAGTGAGTACATACACATAAGACATGAATAAAGAAATCAATATATATTGCAACAAAAATCTATCACAGAAAAAAAAGAAAAGAATTCATCTAGAGTTAGAAAAAGAAAGAATCTCATTTTTTTTTCGTTTAACTTTATTGATCGACTAAAGGTGGTGGAACAGTCATGTTTTGCTTCCCTGCTGTTGTTGACGATACAGATGATGTTAAATAACCAGCGATTTGTGGACCAACTGAACCACCAGTTATTGCTTGCATATGTGATGATGTTTGAATAAATAAATCATGTCGTTGATCTTTATAATCATTCCATACAGTTGATGATTGAAGTATACTTAATACTTGTTCACCATAAACTAATGATTCAGCCATTAATTTACATGAATCAACAAGATGTGCTTTACATGAACCAGGTTTTTCAACATCAGCTAATGGTTGATTAAGTAATGTAAGAATATGTTCAATTAATTGGCAACGTAACGCATCTTTGATAAATTCATCAGGTGTACCAGGTGGTGGAGTACGAAATAAGTCATGTAAACTTTCAGCAATGAGTCCTTGAAATAAAAAAATAACACTAAGAATTTAAGACATGAAAAAAAAATAAGGAAGAAGTTTATACTAGCCTTTACATTTCCAGAGATTAATTAATTCATATATGAAATGATGAAATACAAATTATGAAATAGTCAATATATTAAAATTATCTATTTAGAGTCATTATTTAAAACTAAGTTTGGCATACATAATAAAATAATGTTCACGATTTCAAATATTGTGATATCAATCAAATGAACAATTTTTTTAAGATAATATTCTCTCCGTGTCAGATTAAATCTAATGAGAAGTGATGTTCTCATCAGATACTTACTCCTCAAAAATGTGTTCATGTCATTTGTCTTAAAATTCGTGATAAATGATTACAACTCAAGTCATATCAGAAACCCATCATGTAGTGTTTCTAATCTCCAAGAGCACTAATGATAGTTGAACTATGAACTGTATTTTGCAATAGTTTATATGTATATTGCTAACTTAATGTATACCATAAAAATGAAACAGTAATTTTAACGTGAGTTTAGGATAAAAAAAATACGGGGTTTGTATATAATCGTAAACAACTATGCTGCGTTGTATAAAATCACATTTTGACGGTTCATTCAGTTGAGTATTATGATCATAGATCTCCATAACAGTACACCACACAAAGAATCAAAGATGCCAAACCTTTAAAGCAAAACGAAGAACTCACTGTGTGATCTTCATATACGAAGGCAGTAAACAAGCGTTTCTGTCTTTGCAAATTATCATATTTCTTTCAAAACAACACGGATACATACGATTGTGATATAGAATTATGCAAGCCATCGTGTTTTTCAAAACTATTCAACAAGATGGCGAGAAAATTTAACAACTTGTTGAGAATGATTTTTAAGCTATCGCACGGATATCTCATCTGTTTACATTTTTCTTTATCAACGCAAATTATACGCCACACATTTTTTTTATAGCTGTAACACATCATGATTATTTGTCTTCTATTTAAAATAATTATTATTCTCGAGTTACTTATTAACAACGAAAACTAATCTTTGAATTTTCAGGAGCACAAGATTCTTTCCAAGTATTTCAATAATTTTAACTTATTTTAAACAAATAAAGTAAAAATTTTCAAAAGAAAATGTTTACATACCAAGCTGGTCACGTCTTGTTTCCATAGCTTGTCTAAATCCATTAATAATTTGCGGACATTTTGTTGAAAATGTTTGTAAACAAACTTCCGATTTACAAAGTGCAAAAAGAACTTTAATTGCTGATGCAACTATAGCACCGTTACTTTTACACTCTAATGCTTGAACAATTGATGGTAAAAATCCAATTGATGGTAAATGTTCACATAATGTTGGTTGAGCATGTAATAATTGGATTAAACATTGAGTTAACATTTCAAATTCATCTGTATGTGACATAAGAAGTTGTTCTGGTTGTCTAAAAAAACAAACAAATGAACTTGTTTCAGTACACTTCGAGCTACAGCTTTCAGATTACACCTATTTAAATGAGAGTTCCTTACTGCTTCGGATAAAGAACAATTTTGTTTAATTGTAATTTTATTTTTATGGCCTTCAAAATCTCAAAACTCGAAAGACCATGATTTCTTTGACATTGAAGGTTGAATACAAATTATCACAAAGAAATAGGTTCGTATGTAAAAACTAATGTTGAGAAAAATGCACGAACATTGTTTTGTAGATTCACTCGAAAAAAAATTTGAAATGAGCATAAAATATCGTTATATTAGGTGCCAATCGACATTCATTTGGAGTCTTATCGGATTGCTTTCTAATTATACGTAGGTATCGTAATTACAATAGAGCTTGTAATTTTTCTGTAAAGATAGTCTTGGCCTTTCCTCTGGAGTGATCTAGAAACTGAGCATGATTTCTGAACGAATCTTTTAAAATTAAAAGTCCCTCTTGCAAATATCAAACTAGATTACTTTAAGGGTTATGTACATATGTAGTTCTGCGACAAATAGCAGTAAAAAAGAATATTCGCTGATAAATTATCTGAAATGTTTATTCTTTTTGTAGTAGTACCATGTGCAAGTGAGAATAAAGGGTGGATGTGAGTCTTTTTGCACCAGTGGTGCAAATATCGGGTTCCGATCCTAGGTAACTGGTACCTGCTGTGGATTTCTGTTCTTAGAAATGTATTGGTATAGCTTATTTGTCTGCTTCATTCGACCATTTTTTGCTTTCTTCCTATATATTTATCTCTAAAAGTATCTTCTGTTTAGAAAAATCGATTCTTTACATACTTTGTATGTGTAGTCCATCGACTAAGTAATTCAGTAAGAAATTCTTTTGGTCGTCGTACAACCCAACCAGGATTAGCAATTAATAAACGAACATAAACTCCTCCAACTAATAATTCATTTTGTCTAATTCGTTGTGTTTCTTCATCATCACCTAATAATTGATATGCATCATCAATAGACCATTTTGTTTCTGTTGGTGCAATACGTTGTTTTAAATAGAATTCATTGATTTGTTTTCCAATACGTTCACATGTCATTTCACGTGTATGATCATTCCATATTAATTCAGGATTTTCATGTGTTGTTTCAAATAATTGTATTGATGTTTCACATGATTCACGCATTGCATCAACAACTAAACCAGGTAAATATTTAATTAATTGTAAGCGTATACGTGGACCATGTAAACGATCATTCATTAATTTTGATAAAACATTAGCTGCATATTCACGTAAATTTGAATTTTGTCCATTTGAAAATATATCAAGTAAATAAAGAAGACCACCACTATCAACAATATCACGAACAATTTTACCATTTGATGATAATGCATTTAAAATTTCTAATGTTGTTTCTTGATTTGATAATGATGAACGTAAAACAAGTAATAAATAAACAATAACATTTGATTGTGATATATCATTAACACATTCATTTGAACCACTTAAATGAAGTATTAATTCTAATGCATTTTGTTGTAAACGTGCAACATTTTCCATGCGTAATAAAGAAAATAATAATTTAAAATGACCAATACATAATGTTTCAATACCCATATTATTACGAATAACATTTTTTAAGGCTTCAAGAGCTTGAGATATATGTTCTTGTTTGTTACGATGAAGACCTTCAGTCGACTTTTTATCATCCTATTTATAAAAATTAATACAAGATAAAATTTATTTTTAGATTTTATCATATCTCAACGTTTAAATCTTTTTTTTTTATTTCAAAATTAAATTCTAAAAGAATTTCGAAATAATTAAAACTAAAGTAAAAGTATTCACTTTAGAATTATTAAATTTTCAAAAATCATTCGTACTTCACGAAAGATGCAACAGTTATCCGTCATTTTGGGTGGACGAAATTTCATGTCGAGATATTGTCATTCGGTTTGGTGATATTTAAGATGCTCGAGACTAACTACTTACATTAGATTTTTGTTCTTGTTCATGTTGTAATTGCATTGCCATAAGTGTATTAACATATTGTGAACTTGTTCCTAAGAAATCAATTAAATCCGAACAAAATTTTTTCGGATCTTTTAAAACTGTTGTTGGTTGTAAATTATAAACACGTACAAATATTTCACCAATAATTAATTCAGTTTTATGTGCTGAATAAAGAAAATCTGATGGATTACCAAATTTTTCAATATTTAATTTATATTCATTTTTAACTAAATAATCACGTGTTTCATCTAATTTATCAATTAATTCTTGTCGACAAGAATTATCCCATACTAAATATGGTTGTTCTTGATTTGAATTAAGTAATTTAAGTACCATACGATCAGGTAATTGTGATACAATATATGGTGTTAAAAATGTTTGAGCAGCAATGAAAGCTGGTGGATTATTTGGTATAAGTGATGCAAGAGTTTGTAAATAATCACATGCTAATTGATTATCAACATATTGTTTATTACTTGGATCAGCAATTCCACTTTCCTAATGAAAAGTGAAAAAAAGATATTTATTTAAAATATTGTTTTTTCGTTGATTTAAACTAAACAGAATCTGCAGTGTGGTAGAAGTAGAGAAAGTTTATTTACAAGAAGAAAATACGAAGATAAGCACAATCTTTAGAAAATTGAAAATCAAGTTTTTCAGCAGCTAAAATGAAAAACAATTATTTTGTTTAGACTACGTCGAGAACGATAGAGAAAAGAATTCGCCATCAAATCAAGTGTTTCGGAGTTTTTTTTATGATGCTTTTTAGCTGACGAAATAAGTTTCCCTATTGGTTAATTGCTTTTGAGTTAAGACTATGTACATCATGCAGACTGAAAATCGTTTGTGATCTACTCAGATTAAAGAGCATATCGAGTTGTCTGCACGACAATTATTTTTTTCAGTGTTCTCAAAATGGATTTTAAATAAAATAATATCATCATGAAGATTTTCACAGTAAAACGTTGATATGTGTATGACGTATGAATGAAAATGACTATATTTCTCGCAAAAAAAAAAGTCATTTGGAAAAGAAAAACTTATTGTCTTCTAGGACAATTCAATATACTCTATCATTTAGAAAAATAAAAAATTTGTTCGTCTGAAAAACCAACATGTCGAAAGCTAAGAAGATCTCTTATATGCATATTCGAAATCAGTATCGTCTATAGCCGATAATCTATTATCATAGAGAGAAATTCTGATATTTATTTTGTATGTATATACTTACATCTAAAGTATAATCATAATTAAATAAACCACGACAAGCATAAACAAATAATCCATGACGATGTAATAAATCTCTTAAACGTACATCACCATCACATAATGAAATAGCTGCTTTACATACACATGTACATAATTGTTTTAAATGAGTATAATTTAAACAATGACATAATTCTCTTAATACACATTGAAGTTTATCAGGATCAATAAATAAATCACGTGATTTTTCAAAATGTCCAGCAACACTATAACATAATGCTGAATATTGACAAACAGCAACAATAAAATCATCCGATTTCGATGATTTTGTTATAACAGATGAACAACGTTGAAATACTTGTGTTAAAATTTCTAAACCATTTTCACGTCTTAATTCTTCACAATTTAATTCAGAACAATCAAGTGTATAATAAAGTAATTCAATGGCAATTGGTAATAAAGCTGTAGCTTTTGTTGTATTACCCATTGAAAATAATTGATCATTTTTAGCTTCAGTTTCAAGTATACGTATTAACAAAGGATAACCAGCATATTTATATTCGGATAATAATGTTTTATAACGACGATAAAGAATTGATTGAGTTTTAAGTAATAAATAAATATTAAATTCATTTGGACCTTGTTGAATTCTGGATGCAGCACATAAAAATTCATAGGCTTTATTAACACGTTCGAACATATCACGACCATTAGGATTTTTATCTGGATGATATTTATTAGCAAGACGAAAATATGCTTTACGAATAGTTGATTCATTGTGTGGACCATTATTAGCTGAAGAATCTGATGAATTCGATTCATCTTTTGTATTAAGACCTGAAAATAGATGAAAAACTTAGGTAACTCTCCACAATTTTAAGTTAAAAAGTTTTTTTTTCAGAAAAACCAAACCTATTTTAAGGATGCAAGAAGAGATTTTGAGTTCAAAGCCCTGGAAATTAGACATATTAAAGTTCGAATTTTTTCGAGAAACCAATTTACTAACGAAGCACGATTTCTAAGTGTAGCGCGCCGATTGAGCACATCTTTTACTCAAATTTTCAGGACGATTTTTTCGTTGTAGTATATTTTTATAGACTAAGTTTTGAATTAAATTCCTTCACTTAATTTCTCTTCTAATGCTGAGCTACCAGTCGAACAGACAGTAAAACAAAGACAACTTCAGAAGGAGTCTATATGAGGACGAATTCTCTTTGAGTTCTTCTAGTCTCACTAAGCTCTTCGTATGAGTGAAAGATGATCTCGATCGGCAAGTCACACTTGAGGACTGACACTGATAAGAATGGCATTCTATCACACGAGCTGTTTACGCAACGTTCGAAAAACAACCTATATGAAAAACGAAGCTCTCTTGAAACTTTCCGATTCATCAGTCAATTTTGTACACAGTATGATTTCGATCGATTTTCTATAACTCTGTTTCATCAGAATAGCCGGATGTAGGCTTCTATCATGAAAAATCAAATCGTTTTCCAAAGTTTCATAGAAATTCTTCTAGTATTGAAATAGGTCATTTTATTAACTAACAGCCAGGAAACGAATATTTATATTTCGAAAGACACTTTATTATAAGGAAAAAATAGTCAGCTCTATTACGAACGCAACTCGAAAAACTCGTTGGATTAAAACTTGGATTCAAAAGCAATGCATCAGTTATTCATTACAGCATTCGAGATATGACTTTCTAGAAATCGAGTGAACAGGTTTTTCTTTGCGAAATTTAAACCATTAAATATATCAGTATCTAGATCAAAATGAAAATCATTAGATCTATGTTTTGAGTCATATCCTATGCGATGATCTAATATAATATAAAACACTAATACAATCAGTAAAACAAGTGAATATTTCTGAGTCGTTTATCTCTGTAATTTTTGTAGAAAACAATATTTCATAAATCTATCTATAATGTTAACTATTAGTGTATTTACCAAGTACTTGATAAGCTTCATCAACACTCATATCACTTCCTTTTTTCTCTAATTCCGCTTTCCACATATTTAAACAATCTTTAAGTAATGCAATTGGATCACGTATAGGCCATTCGGGAAATTTTTGTTCATCACATAAATGACGTAAATAATATGTATTACAAAATAATTCATTTTCTAATTGTGGATAATTAATAATTGGTATTGTACAATATGAATAAATCGCTGAAATATTTGACATTAAACGTGGAGAATAATCAGCTAAAATATATGAAAAAAATTATTTATTTATTTAAATATTAGAAGAAAAAGCAAAAATTTTATTTTACCTAAATGAACAGCAATTTTTTCAATCATTAAACGACGCATTTCATTTGACCAAATTGTTTCCGGTTGATCAAATTCACCTAAATATTCAAAGAAATATAAACAAAATAGTTTAGTACAATATTTACCAAGAAACATTTGTGCAAATTTTTCAGGTCCATGATTTTCTAAATAACAAATCATCGCTTCTGGTAATATATGACCAAGTATAGAACGAAAATAAATATCTTTTTTTTCACCCGATTGTTGTTGTTGTTCATCAGAACGAAATGCTTGTGCTAAATGCGTATATTTTAAAAAATGTCCTATGGGTAAAATATTAGAACCAGTATACATTAAAATAAAATAAAAAACACCAGTCATATAAAATTGTGGTAATAATGGATTATCTTGTGTCAATTTATTAAGTAATATAACAATTTTTTCAACTAAATTTGGATCAAATGTTAATAATAATTGTACAATATGTGGTAAACATGTTGGATCATTTAATAAACGTTTAATTTTTGGAAATGGACGAATTATTGCGCCAGTTACTTGATCACGTGAAGGATAGAGTTCACACATGGAATTTAATATATCAAGAATTGTTGCTGCTAATTCACTATCATTAAAAATAGATTGACCACCAGCAAATACTATCCATTTTAGTTGAGGAATACGATCCATGGTTTTCCAACCATCAAGACCTAAAAGGTTATGAAGAACAAATCAATTGTAGGAATAATCGATAGAGAAATTCTTCATCCAACGTAAAATGATATATATATCTATAGTGAGTTTCTAAATTTTTCCAAAAACTTTGGCCTGCCTTATTTTTTGACGTCGATAGTAAAGTAGCAATATTTGAAGTTTTCTTCCTTTGTGAATAATACATTTGTTCTTATGTAAATAGATTTAAGTAACATCTACTACTATTTTAGAAGAGCATATCTCTTGGAAATTGTAAGAGTTCAACTATTTCTGTTAGAAATGGGATAACTTTTTTGTTTTGGGAGTTATTATGAAATTCTCGATATTATATAAGAAAGGCTTTGTTGAATAATTCTACAGAAAACTGTTCCTTATGTCCATATGAACGTGGAAATATAGTGAAATAAACTTAAACCATTCAGATTATGTTGTACAATGTTTTTTTTATAACGATATTATTGATAAAATTAATTATGAAAATCTTTGGGTGTTACAAATTCTTTGATTCCAGGTTTATCTTTTCACTCAGATAGAAACTAATTGAATAGATCTATCGTTCACGCCATTGATATTATAAATAAAATTTTACCTTGTGCCCAAAATCGAGTTTTAGCATCAAAAGCTCCTTCTTTATATAAGTCTTTAATTTCACTAAAACTATATGGTCCAACTTTTTCTTTATCTTGTTTTCCATAATACCATTCCTTTTCATTTTCTCTTGTCATTGTTGTTGATGATTCAAGTACATTTGAAGCTAATGGTACTTGTGCACGATTTATATGTAAATGTGCTAAACACATAAGTTGTATGAAAATTTTAATTCCACCACAATCAATTATATCTCGAACATTTCGATGATTTAATATAAGTTTACTTATAAACATAAGTAAACGATCACGTTCACATTTATCTGTTGAACGATCAAGCATAAGAATAATATGTCTTGTATCGTTAAATGGACCAATAGTTTCATAATGACGTGCATAAACGATTGTCATTGCTTGTAAACACATTGATTTCATTGATGCTTGTTTTGTATTTATCGGTTGAGATAATAGAAAACGATGATAGAGATCATTGAAAAATTCCGAGGGATTATAAGCATCTAAACATAAAGTTATTAGTACAATCTTTGTGGGATTAAAATGGGAAACATGATGGTGCTGATGTTGTCAAACAAAAGAAGATTGCCTTATTCTATCTATTTGAGAAGACATTTCTTCGTCAGCTCTTTATTATATGTTACAGAAATGCAGCAAGAAAAAAAGTTCATATTTTAGAATGAGACGTTATTGATTGTGCAATCTTGAATCGAATATCTACAACGTTTGCCATAGTCTGTAATGATTTTTCGCAAATGTCTATCACGATCCATGATGATCTCTGACTAGTATTTGATACGGTCTTGAGAAAGAGTGGATGCAAATGTCTACCTCTATATTTCAATACTCCTATTAGATCATGTTTCACAAAAGAAATTCGCAACAAAAAAGAAATCATTTACCTGTAGCTGCATCATTATTAGCTGTTAGTTCTCCTTGTTCAAGTAATAAACGTAAATAAACACTTCCAATTTTAATTTCATCATTTAAACATTGATATAAAACTTCAAATTCATTATGATTCCATGATATTAAATGTCCATGACCAAGATCTTTATCAATATTAAAATTTCTTATTTCATTTTCAATTGTTTCACGTAATTCATCACGTGTTTTATTATTCCATATTAATGTTGGTCGTGCATGATCCATAACAAATTTTTGATAAAATAAACGCCAATTTTTTTCAGCACGTATACGTTGACGTGGTTTACGTAAAACAACAGGTTGTTGTTTATCATTTGAATGACTTGATATGTTTGTTCCTGTCGCATTTGGATTATCCGATGAAGATAAAAGTTTACTATTTTGTTTGAATTTTAAACTCCAATGTTGAAAAGCATGTTGAACATGTTGCTCAAGAATTTTCATTTGAGTAGCATTACGTATTTTATTTGCTGTATTTATAATTGATGTTGAAAGAGCGTTAGATTTATTTGTTTGAGCATGCTGTTCAGTTGCTAAACGAAGAGTATCACGGCCAAGAAGTGCAGCTTCGTCTAGAGAAAACAATATATTTTTCGATTATTTAACATAAATAGACATAGAGAATCATATGTGGCTAGTATTACTTTCCGAGAAAGATCTATTTACTTTACTATGATTATTATTTGATTATTGTTTAATAATGCTATCAGATAGAACTGATTACTACAGTTGAATAGAGTTCTCTGGTGAGGAAACATGTCTAATGGTCAGATGCCATTCAATTTTATATTATGTCTATGAGTAGATTTATCGGATAATCCCGAACGTATTAGTGAGAGCAACATGTTTTTGGCGAGATATTTAATTTCCACCAAGAATAGTGGTTTATCATACAAGGACACAGTAATGAATTTCAATTGAAAATCGAATGTCACAAAAGAAAACATGCTTGTTTTCCTCAATACTTTCAGAATTATCAAATTTGCCTACAGACACATCTCAGCTCAAAACTCTTAGTCTTAGAAATATCTTGCTCTCAATAAAATTTTCCTTAAAACAATTATAACCTTTCAGCGGTAGATCATGGGCCCGAATCTTTTTAAGCTTTTCTTAGTCCCATTGAGGTTTACTCCTAGGCCTGATATGAAGTCGAACGGCATGTTACTTCACTAGTTATGAATTTCGCAATGGCTACTTTACAGTTTCTTTCTACATTCGATCAGTTGATTGATCGAAGCGTAACGTTTCCGATTCATAGCGGCAAAATAAAAAAAAAATCTGCTTCCAGTAATGCGCATTTTTTAGGAAAAGCGTTTTTGTACTGTTTATTCGCTTTCTAGGAGGTATCGATTTTTTTCGATCATCGACATTCGAAATTTCATATCGTGTTTCGACGTCGAATGAAATTCGAATGCTATCAAACCGTTTGTTTGTTCTAATAACTCTTTGATTATCAATTTCGGCAAACATTCAGTATTGTCGGGTAGTTAAAAGTATAAAAATAGCATTTGAAATTCTATCAAAATATGAAAAATCATAAAATAATGTTAGAACTATCGAATTACCCTATAAACTAAGTAATTCGATATCTTACCAAAATCTTTTTCTGGTTCTTCATTTGAATCTAAATAAGCAATAAGTCCAAGTGGAAATATTCTTTTTAATAATCCAAATGTTGTTGGATGTCCTGTTGCCCATAAACCAAGTAATTGTTGACTAAGATATTTTAATGGTAACAATCGACTATCATTTGATGCTGTAAACAAAGCTCGTAAAAGATGAACAGGCAAAGCACCTTCACTTAATGCTAAATCTTGCATGTGTGCAGAAATATCTGATGAACCTTCTTCAATAATGGCTTTCATAATTGAACCAGCACCTTTAACAATTGTAAATGATGAATGTTGAAATAATTTAAAAAATATTCGTCCATTCGATGAGACTAATTCAAGAAGAACATCAAAATGTTGCCCATCTAAACATTTTTTTTATGTGATTAATAAAATAAAAGAAAAAAACGTGTGCTTTTTTTTCTGTTTTACCTGTTGTTTCTGAAAATGGTGGACATAAAGTATATGTTAAAAAGTCAAGAAATGATGAAATAATTAATGAACCCGTATTTTGTTTAACATGTTTTAAAAATATATCTAATAAACTTTCAAGAAATTTTTTCGTTGATAATATACTTGATTTATTTAGTTGTTCTTGACGTAAATCATAATCTAAATGCATTGGTTGTAATAATGTATTTAAAACTTCTAATGCTGCATATGTTATTTGATCATCATTTAATTTTAAAGAACGAACAATTTTTGTTCCAATACGTTCACGAAATTTCGGTAATTGTGTAAATGCTTGAAAACCAGCTTTTGACGCTAATAAACGACGAAAAGCAAGATATTGATCTTCGATAAATTCAAGATCAACAACATTAGTAGTTGTATCGGTATCAACTAAAGTGTTAAGCGCTGAATGAATTAATTTTTCTTTATTTTCAGCAAAGAGACCTGAATAAAAAAAAAAAAAAAGAAAAGATTAAATTAATGAGAAGCAGAAAAAATTAAAATTTGGTAAAGATATTTTTCTTATAATATTAGATTTAGTGTTATTGACCAATGATGTAATTCAAACTTGTAACGGAGCATTCTGAGGTGTCCGCATTCTTTTGAACTGATATTTTACCTACAATCAGACGTTGGTGAGATATGACAGGCTTCCAAAAGGCTTGAGTTCATGGTAGTGCCCGACATGGATCAAACTTTTGTGACCAACTCATCGATCTTTTGGCCCGATCCTATCTGACGCGAGGTTAATTACTTTTTTTGTGATCCGGCATGAGTTGGATTCTGGTATCCACTATTTCTTTCTCGTCTTTTCAATAGAATTTGCAGAGAATAAAGCGTTACATTTTTTGATGTAGAAACTTGAATTTGATGGATGAAAATTAAAAAAAACTTTTAATATGTTCATTCTTTTTCGAATATCCGTTAAAGCCATTATTTAACAATGCCATTTTAAAGAACACAAAATTATAAACAAAGTGATAGGTCGCTGCATTTTCTACGACCTTCCTTTAAAAAGTTACAAGTATTACAAAAAATCCATTAAAAAAACGCTTTTTGTTTTGCTTTTGTGATACTTTTAACTTTTTAAAGGAAGGTCGTAGAAAATGCAGCGACCTATCACTTTATACAGAATTTTGTGTTCTTTAAGATAGCTTTCTAAAAAATAGCTCTACGGGGGCCCGAAAACTATCCACAATAACTACTCGTATTTGAGATAGATACGTAACAGTATCAAAAAAAATCAAAACTAGTTTGTTGTTTATCTTTTTTTCTTGCATCATACATATAGGGTAGGCTATCGGTAGCAATACCACAAAAACAATGAAATATATTCGTGTCGATTCAATCAAATGGGCTGTTTTTTTGTTATTAGCAGAAGTTTATTCAAAGGTTTTTTTCTTCATACAGATAAGGTAAGCAAATACTGCAACTAAGTATTATTTTAGGTATCATGAAAGCGATCTTACCTGTTATCAAGTAAAAAAATACATGTGTAGTATTTCATAGATAATTTTCAGTTGTGATCGAAAAGAATAACAAAAACTCAAAAAAAATTATATTAATGCATACAAAGCAAATTTTCAGAATTAGTTAATTTAAAAATCAATTGTCCTCAAAGTTCGAATTTTCAAACATAGGAAATTATTTATTAGAACAAATTTGGTGCTTTGGTGAACTACTGTAAAATCTTGAAATACAAACTGTTAAATAAATTAGAATTTTGAACAGTTAAAATTCCAAAAATTGAACCTCAAAAAATATCCTCTCCTTTGATTACCATTTAGATAGCTCCATACAAAGATTCTTAACAATCAAGAAGTTTTCTTTCATTTTCACCTGTTCACTCTTAAGGGTGAGTGTGTGAAGATACTATCCACATCCACACCCTTAATTTTAGATTATGAATGTAAGCATTCAAAGTGACTAATTTTGAAAAATTGCTCTGCGTACATCAGCCTAGTTCGTTTTGACTTATTATTATTCTCTTATATGACAAATGAAAATTAGCAATGAAATGCTTCATATATATTTTTTCTTTAATAGAGATAGCTCTTGAAATTATTGAAATCTCCTAAAAGAATGCCAGCCGAAAAGAGTGGTTCCTATTTTTGGATAGCAAGTTTACAAAAAAGAACTAGATTTTCATGGTTTTTTTTTCTGGATTTGATATCTTGAGAAGAGACAAGTCTTGTTGGCTGAAATTTTTAGGATACTCTAATGATCTCAAGAGCTATCCATGGGCAAAGTTTTAGGCCGATACTCATTTATTCAGTTTTTCTTATAAATACCGTGCTAAAAGTAAAAATCCTCTGTGTAAAACCATTACTCCAATATTGATAGGGCATGGAGAAGGACCCGTCTAGATTTCTTCTAGTCGCAATATACTCTGGATAATGAAATCAGTTTCATTTCAAACGCCAGGTATCACCTCGAGTAGTACTCTGTTAAGAAAAAAAAAAACAGTAGTCCATTTTAGTGAATTGAAGCGGAGATATTCCATTTTTCTTTAATCCTGCATTTCAATTATAGTAAAAAAGACTATGAATCAGTATCAAAATGTTTTTTTTGTTTTCCTAAAAATAAATTAAGAGTTAATCATACCTTCTGATGAAACAGCATTAATAAGTCCACTATAAGGTACATTTGCATTAAACCGTTTAAGAATTTCATTAAATGAAACACCACCTTGTGATGCTGATGGATTATGTGAATCTTGTGGAGTAGAAAGTCGACCTACACAAATAAAAAAAAACCTAAGTCAAATAATTCTATCGAACAAAAAAATAGTCAATTTCTACCCGATGGTGGTTGTACAAGAAATTTTAAATGTTGTATTTCAACTTCATCATCAACTAAATGTCCAAATGGTGCAAAACGTTTTCCTCTATCAGTTGGATTTGTTTTAACACAACAATCATTATTCCCTGCTGAACGTACACCATCCAATAATGTTGCTAATAAAATATCACGTTCAGTTGATGTATATTTACATTTTGATCGTGTTGGATTATTTCTTATATATTCAATAGTAAATTCTTGTAATGAATCTTTATGTCGTACAAGACCAAATATTTCATTTAATGGTTTTAATGTACATATATGATATGTAGCTGGATCACGTTCAATTAAACATGTTTCAGTTAAACAAAGTAAACGTCGAACATGATCAACATGTCTTGATGAATGTTTATAAACAATAAATTCTGCAAATGATGTTAAATGTTCATCAGATATATATGTTGGACCAAAACGTAATTGATTATAATCATTAAGTGTATAAGATTTTTTTGATAAACGTATTTGTACACCTATATTTGTATGTGCTGAATCAATTATATTTTGAAATAATGTTGATGTTTCTGTTGTAACAAATGCATGTAAACGTGAATAATGTTTATCTTGTATAAGAAATCCACGTACGGTTGTATCACCTTCACTTGTTAATGGAATTAATTGTTCAATATCTTTATATTCATATGAACATAAATAACGATTTGTAGTTGCATCAATTTGATCAATACAATGTGATTGTATACGTAAAAGTACTGGTAAACGTTGTGATGACCAATGAATTTTTGTTGCGTGTATTACTTTTGGCTGACTTGTTGCTTGTTGATGATGATAAAATAATGTTTGAAAACGTAAGGCATCAGTGATGATATCCGAACGATATTCACTTGAAAAACGCATTGTATCATTTTTTTTTGATTTTGTTCGAAATGTTAATATAAATTCTGCTATTGGCGATGAATTTGATATTGATTGTTGAGATTTATCGGATGTATTCGAAGATTTTGATAATGTTAATGATACAACTTGATCATATGACCAAGCATTTGTAAGACCAAGTGTTGATGGTTCATATGTACTAATACCATGTGTACCAATGGAAAATATGCGTTTATATTTACCACGCCATGAATGTTTAGTTACATGATAACAGGAAATATCACGATTGTCTGGTATGTTATGTGTCATTATTTTAAATGTAGCATCTAGATGATGTTAAATTCGAAATAAATACGAAGTAAAAATGAAGAGAAGACGAGTAGATAAGAAGATAGAGAGAAATTTGGCACTCTAACACTCCTACAGTTATGTGATAAGAAGGCTAGGTAAAAGAATCATACTATGAAAAACGAAACATCAATTGGAAAAGAATATAAAACCAATAAGAGTGTAGACGAGAGATGGCGAAAGATATCATTATTCATTTTTTTCGTTTTTAGTTTCTAAATGCTATTGATGTTGTATATTAATGAACCGGAATAAGATGATTTTCTTGTCTATTGTTTTGTTTCATTTGAAATTCTCTATAAATTTTCTTCAGAAAGAATAATATAATCTTATAAAAAGCTTTTCAATCAGTTTTGTTTATATTGATGACATGGCTTTGTTAACTAAATTTTTGTTGATATTTCTGTTTTCTATGAGGCGAAAACGTATAACAAATTATTTTCATGTCTTTGAATGATATAGAAACATAACAATTCTTACAATTATATTAATGAAAAAAAAGTACTTTTGATCATTATTGAACAATGTATAATTAAAGCAATTAGTAAATGGTGTGCGTGTATCTGTAGAGAATTTCGTGTCTCCTTGATTGCGGGCGATTTTTCTTAATTGGAGAAAAAATATGTCCGCAAAGTAGAATCAGAGGGTATAGACAAAAATGACCGCATTTTGAAAATTGTCCGCAAAACAGAATCGAGGCAGAGAATGAAAATGTCCGCATTATAGAATCAAAAAAAAAGTAGAAATAATAAGAAAATTAGTACAGACAAATCGATTCTATTGATGATGTCATCTCTATCGAGTTGGTGTAGCGCTGGACGGACGGGTGTCGTCCAGGTCATCTTTTTTCACTTTATACCGTGAACGAAAGTATTTAAAGAGATAGAAATAGTGGATAACAGTTAATAAAAATGTCGATTGTGAACCATGATAACATTTCTTTCATTGCCACACAATCTGGTAAAAATGGGATAATGTTTAAAAATTATCTTTTTGGATTAAAACGTACAAATAAGAATGGAAATCAAATATGGATTTGTACACACAAGTTATGCAACGCTTCAATTGTCATGCGTGAAGGCTTAATTGTAAAAACTTCATCTATTAAATCAGATGGAAGCCATGAATTCCAACATCAGCGAAAACTGGATGCAAATGTATATGAATGTATTAGATCAATAAAACGAAGAATCGATGAAGATCCTGCAACACCAGTATCTGTATTATATGAACAACAAGTTAAAAAATTCAGACGAGAAAATGGTGCAGCTGGATCAGTTCCAGTATTCGATCGTGTGAGGTCTTGCTTATATGAATATCGATCATCGAAACATCCACCAGTTCCAAAATCACTTTCATCAATCGAAGTACCATATCGACTTACTCGTACATTATTGGATGACCGATTTTTATTAAATCACAATCGTACTTCAATGATACTTACTTTTTCTTCATTAGCAGCTATGAAACTTCTTGGAAATAATGAACATTGGAACGCTGATGGAACGTTCCGAACAGCTCCCAGATTATTTTACCAAAGTTTTAGCATCCATGTATGGGATGCGTATAGCATGAAGTCTGCCATCTATGCCGCTTTACCAGACAAAAAAGAAAATATATATGATAACTTTTTACAGGATGTAATTTTGTATGCCAACAACTATGATATTAAACTTGCACCAAAAACTATTTTGATTGATTTCGAAGTAGCTTTATATAAATCGTTTTCAAACAGTTTTCCAACGGCAATAATAAAAGGATGTCAATTTCATTTTTCTCAGAATATATGGCGACAAATCAAAAAAAAAGGTTTACTTAAACTTTCACAAGGTGAAGACGTTCGACGACAAATCGCAAACATTTTAATGTTGCCAATCTTACCACCTGATGAAATTAATAATGCCTTTTGTAATATCATTGAACATTTAAGTAATATACATGTGAAATTTTTGAAATTAACTAATTACATTTTGGAAACTTATATTGAAGAACCATTATATCCACGATCTTTTTGGAATTTGTTCGATTTAATTGGAATACGACCGAAGACGAACAATCATATTGAAGGTTATCATGGACAGCTGAATTCCCATTGTCCAACACATCCTACCATTTGGTCTTGGATACGATATATTCAAGAGGCTGAGGAATCAGTAATGATTCGATTAGAACAGGAACACGAACAACTCGTCGAAAAAGGTTAGCTTCAGTTAATAATGAAAATATTTTAGTACAAGCAAAAGAAGATTATTTAAATGGTCTACTAGATTTAGATGGTTATCAAAAAAGACTACGTTCTCTTTGTTACCGATACATTCACATATTGGATACATCTGACAAAGATGACGAAGATTATGAACCAAAGCATAGTTGAATGTTGAGTCATCTCGTATTACTTGTATCTTTGTCTTTCTTCACATAATAAATTTTTTCTTGATTCTATAATGCGGACATTTTCATTCTCTGCCTCGATTCTGCTTTGCGGACAATTTTCAAAATGCGGTCATTTTTGTCTATACCTCCTGATTCTGCTTTGCGGACATTTTACCTTAATAGGTTTAAAAAAGTGTCCGCATTGTAGCTGTAGCCGAGAATTTATACATCCATTTAAACATATTGTTTTCTAAGTTAATATTGTAATATATATATATATGTTGTTTGCATTACACACTATACTTTGTTTCTTAGGCAGTTCAACAAAATTTAACTGATTGACCTTATCGACAGTGGGAAACACCACAAATTGATGTTGCTGACAACCCGAAGCAGCACCTACTCTTTATTGAGAAATAGTAATGTGAAATGAATACTGAAAACATTTAGTGACCAAAATTACTGTTACCCTATACTAATGACTACAGAATGATAATAATAAAAGACTTATTTCGATTGGTATTTTTTATCTTTGCTAGCATTAATAAAATATTAAACTCATTTCGCAAATTGAAGGAAAACCCTTGTTTTTCTTTTTATTTGATAAAGTACTTATTTAACACATATTTTTCATAATAACTATATAATAAATTAATATAAACGATACATAAAAATATATTGCTGTCGTAGCGAAATTACATCGATTGTCGAAAATATTTTCAGGTCAATTGATGAGATTAAAATCGAAATATAAATTTATAGTTTTTCCTGTAAAAATCATTTGCATGATTTTTTTTTACGAATAAATGTAGAAAGATTTATTTAAATAAATCAATGATTATGTTTTATTAAAAGTGTGACAAAATCAATCTCATTAGATGATGTCTTTATTTGACTCACCATGAGTCCCAATCTAATTTGTTTTTGTATGAAATATTTTTCTTATCAATATTAAGTTAAAATGTTCTTAAAATAAGAGCATAATATTTTCGAGATCTGCTCTATTAGCTGCAGAAGTAAATGTTGCCACTAGAAATCTACATAATCATTGATTTTTGCGAAGTGATTCTTCTACATTTATTCGTAAATAGTATCCTATAAATGATTTCTAATTTTAATATTATCAATTAAAATACATATTAAGTTGATGAGAAGTAACTTCGTCAATCGTTGTAACTTCACTACGACATTTACACAGAGAGCAAGAAAAATGAACGAATATTAAAATAGAACTATAAGAATACTTTGTTGATTTATCATTGTTTTAAATAAGATTATTATTTTCATCATATGGATGTTGATTCGCTTTTGTATTTGTTATCGCTGATAATGATTTTTTAGGATCATAACCAGCAAAATAACTATGTCGTAAAGCATATCGAGCAGCTATACGTATCGTTGGATCATAAATTAATAATCGCTAGAGAATACAAAAACAATATACTTTTTTGCTTTTACTTAGATTTCCTGTTTTCTGTATTACTTTAAATAAATCATAGGCTACTTCATCATTATCTACAATTTGTCTTAGTTGATTTTTTTGAGTTTTAAATTTTGGAAAAGATGATTTAAATTGTGGTAATAAAAATATATTTGGCCAATCATCTTCACTTGGTGTACCCAATATTCTATTTAATTAAAATTGCAATTAATATATTAAATTTAGAAAAACTTGAAAAAATTTACTTAAATATTTGAAATATTTGATCTATTTCAGAATCACCACGAAATAAAGGCCAACCTTGATACATTTCACCAAATATACAACCTATTGACCACATGTCAACTAAAAATTAAGTAAAAAACAACCTATTAGTGCAATCTAAATGGAATTCAAGTGTCAAGCATGGTATATCTTTTATTGCTAATTACAGAAAGATTATTGTATTCTATGCATTTTGGAACACATTTCTTCATCATGTTTTACTTAATCCTTCAGAAATACAATAAAGAAGGAATTGATAGATTATACAAGACGTTAAACAGCTATGTTATTGCGACGGTCTGATACCGAGTTCTTGAGCTCCTCAAAGACAGTAATTAATTACAAGAGAAGATGTATATCACAACGTCGTCGGTATGCTATCAGATGGACGATTTGAAACAAATAATCGTCAGTGACTCATCTAGGGTCATTCCACGACTGATAGTACTAAGGTATGCATGGAGTACTCAATTCGTATTTAGCAAAATCAAAAAATAAAACAGTTAAATTAGTTTTTATTCTAACCAGGTGTTCCATATAATAATGATCCAAGTAAAATTTCAGGTGCTCGATACCATAATGTAACAATTTCATGTGTATAAATTTTCATTGGAACAGCAAAAGCACGAGCAAGACCTAAAATTTTAAAAAAAAGACAAATATTACTTACAAAAGAAAAGACAAACTTCACAATGAATTATCCTACCAAAATCACATAATTTGATTTGATTTTCATGATTAACTAAGATATTATGTGGTTTTAAATCTCGATGAATAATACGATGTTTATGACAATAAAATATAGCATCTAATAATTGATACATAAAACTCTAGATAATGAATATAATAGAATGAGAAATAAGAATTTAATCTACTTTTTTTACTTTAATTATTCGTCGATCTAATGGTCGATTTCTATCTAAATAACGTTTTAAATCTTCATCCATATATTCAAGTAAAAAATAACATCGTTGATCAGTTAAAAAAACATCTTGTAATTTAATTATATTTGGATGATTAAGTTGTTTTAGAATTGCTGCTTCACGCATAGCTGTTGCTGGAACTCCATTTGCTTCATGTTCATCTCGAATTTGTTTAAGAGCATATATTTTACCAGTTATTCGATGACGAACATGAAATACATCACCATATGTACCTAAAGAAAAACAAATCAATTTGATTGTAGAGAAGAAAAAGAAAACAAAACAATCAAATGAAATTAATTTTAACCTCCGCCAAGTTTTCCTATGCGTAGAAAATCACTTTCTAATTGTTTTGAATAAGTTTCAATTTCATGCCAAGAACAATCAATGAAACCACCATCTCCTGTTGAAAACATTACTTTGCTGTTGTTCACTATGAATAACAAGTAGATAATCTTGTTTACACGCACATGTGAAGACAAAATGATCTATAGTATATATATAAATGTATGTATCCATAGTAAATGTGACTGTATAGTTTTTTCTTTTATCATTCTCTCTAGATAAAAATGAATTAAACATAAATCAACTGTCGATCGATTACTTTCAGCTGTAACTTAATGAAAAATTTTATACTGAATTTTATAAAGAAAATTGAAACGATTTTAAAAACAGTTGAGTTTTAAAAGTGCACAAAATATTATGACCAATAACGATCTGTGTTTGAGTTCATTGAATATATATAATTGCCATCCATTGATACATTTGAAATAGGAATGAAAATATAATCTAGCAAATCACTATTCACTCTTCGTAAATTTCCATATTGATATTGTTGTCGAATTGATGAATAATTATCTGTTTGTGTACCTATATTTGATATATGTGCTAAAACATTAGAAATTTTCTTCTTAAATCTAATTATTATAATAACGAAAAACTGAAAATCGATTACTTTGATCACAATTGAAATTGTTAATATTTTCTTCATTATTTATTTCATTGAAATCTGATATACTATTCGATAATGAATTATTACTATGAAATGAAGTTGTGTTTTCTTTTTCAGATATTTGATATGATTTTTCTGATGAATAATCTTTTTTATTTTATTTTAAATAATAATAGATTGAATTTTTATTAAAAGAATTACTTTTTGATAAACTTTTTCTATAGATTTTTTTATTACATTGATATGATGGACAAGGTGTAAATGATTCATCATTATATTTTGATATTAAATTTTGTTTTGTATTTAATTTATTCTAAAACATAAAGAATTGCATTACGAATTCGAATTATTTTCAATAACTTGTTTTTGAGTTTGTAAACGAATTGTTTCATTCAATAATTGTTTTGTTTTCTTTATATTTATTAATTGAGATAATGATATTGATGATGAACTACTATCATAATCATGAGATCGTGATTGATTTTTGTGGAAAAATTTTTTTCGATGACGACATATTTCTTGTCGCCGATTTCTCTTATGTAATGCATGAAGAATTATAGTTATTGATGAAGAAAATGATGTTGTCGATAACGAAGATAATGAATTTGTTCTTTTACAAGCTGTAATTGGCTACACATAAAGTAGAGATTCATGGAACTACTGTATTATAATGGATGATCGCAAAGTTTTTAGATAAGATGTTTGTGCAGTTTTGACCTGTTCGAATGTATTTTACAGAAACCAAAAACTATAGATGGCAATCTGAATATGGATATGGGCTTCGGAATCTTTTTGTTCAAGAATAGTGATGCATTATTTGAAAAACCTAAAATAATTGTTTTCAATGGTTGGCCAACAGGCTGTTGTTGACGCTGGAAGTTCGTTTTTGAACATGCTAAAAATTGTTCGAGTCAACCGTTTTATACAGCGAATACTTCTCTACAAAATGCAAGCGGCAACTTTTACCCAAGCATTGTTTTCAAAAGCTCTTTTCAACGTGAAACAGTTGTCGATCTTTCAAAAAAGAGTATTTAGAAAAAAGACGAAAACTACGATATTTTGTAGAAAGACAAAAACAAAACTCCAAATAGTGCGCTTTTTAGAATAACTTATGATCTAAAAGCTGATATATAATAAAGATTTCAACTTTTAGTTTCGCATTACAATTATAAAAATTCAAATTTTCAAAGATTATTTCACAACTCTCGAACAAACAACTGAGACAAAATTTCTAAGCTCATAGTTAGCCACTCGTCAGAAATACTTTTTAGTGTGTCAAAAGTAAAGGAAACATTTTGTCTAAAAACCTTCTGATCATCTATTATGACTTACTTTCAATGTTTTTCTAGATTGATTAAGTAAACTTGAAGAAACAGATGATAAACTTAGTGATGATGAAGATCTATGAAATGTATGATTATTATTAATTGAAAGATAGTATTGTGAAATTTTATTATTAGAATTTGAAGTATAAAAATTATGAATAGATGAGTGTAGATTTTTTGAATTGATCAACATAATAACTATTCAGCAATAAGAAAAATTAATTTTATTTCAAAGCGGGAAATGTTTTCGAATGAATAGTCTATTGAATCATCTGATAATATTATTAGATTATTGAAAACATATGTGCAAAAAAAACATGCAATACAACTGATTTTACAATAGAGAAATAGCATTTTACTAAGGAACAATGTTTAATTGCAAGTGTTTGGTTTCATAACAAACTTCTCGACCTTATACTCTATTTTCATTTTTGTATTTTTTATGTATTCTTTATGCTATTTTAAGAACTTTCTAATAAAAGATTATCAATAATACTGTGCACAAGGATTGGTTTTTTACTTATTTTTCTACTCATTATCATTTCATTGAATGTTTATATAATTATTTTATTAATCATCAAAAAAATAAATAAAAATACGTAAAAAAAATTTTAAAATGTTGTAATGCTTGTAAATGTCCATAGTCTTTCTATATTAACAGCACTGCAACCGAACATTATTCATTTCAAGTTAAAAACAAAAGGTAACGATGAAAAAAAAGCTTTAAAAGTGAGCACCTAGATTTTAATTCTACGTTACGTATATGACAATCTTGTTGACAACTTTGATTTACTTCCTATAATAAACGTCTATTATTATCAATAAAATTTTTTATCTCGTATAAATATATAGGCTATGTCAGACTAAACGAGATATACTGATCTTTCACTTGACGATAATTTTTTTTACAAAGGTTATTTTTCTGAAAAGGTTCTTTCACTTAACTACTAATGAAAAAGTAATTAGCAAATATTTTTCTAATCATGAGAGAAAAAAAAACCTGAAAGCTTCACGATAGTCTATAGAAGTTTTATCAAATCCCGAAACAAAAATTTTTATCTGACTATCATCTAAAGATTTTGAAGAAGGATTTCTATCGTTTCGAATTGGTTTTGAACTTTTCATTAGATTACACATATTATTATTTCGTACACGGTCATGTCTCTAACCAATGAGTTGGACTAAATATTAATGTGATTACATTAAAAATCTCATTTAACTATCACGCATTTGTTGTCTACCAGTTTTTTTAAATAATTCGCGAAGTCTCTTAGAAATTTCATCAAATTTAGTTGTTTATAGTTTAAAGCTTGAGCATTATTCTTCGTATACTTTTTTTCTTTAATATTTGTCATACACTTCCAACGAAACATACGTTAGTAAAGTTAACATAATATTCTTTAGACAAAACTAGATCATTAAATAATTCATCATCAATTCAAAATACACTCTTTTCTCTTTGTATTTCGTTTTGCCCGCAACATTTTCATAAGTCTTATTCATTTCAAGCCGATTATTAAGTATACAGCATCGGTGAACATGTAATCGGTGGATCGTGATGAGTCCTGAGTAAACAAATAAGATATATAATTATTGCTTTCAAGAGTTCTATATTCTTATTTTAATATTTGTATTATTACAAGAGAAGATATTATTCAATAATATATCATTTGAAAGACTGATACGAACAAACAAGTTTCATACAAAAACATTTGATTACAGGTTATTTTTGCTTTGCATATAAACTAATTTCGTTACACTTCAAAACCTATGAAATACTCTGTGCCATCAAAACCTGAGTTTATTAACATATTTTTTATTCAATAAGATGTTGTGATTTCATGATATCATTTACAAATGAAAGCACTTAAATCGATTTATCGGATTCGCTATTATCTATTTGAACAATCGTTAAATTTTATACGGACATTTTTTTTTACCCATTAGTTTGCAGCGCGTGCGCCTTTATCCATGTTACTTGTCGGCATGCTCGCTATGTTTACAATTGTTTCTCTTGTTTTTCTTTTAATCCGTCTCACTTTTAACTATCACACACACGTGTTCGTATAAATTTATCTCCAATCAAATTCAAATTTTATTCGGTCAAGATCGAAATTGTTGTTGACCTACATCATACATTCAATATCGAATAGATGCTATTTTATAGTATAGATTAAATTTTTTTGTAAGCTTTATCATAATATAAAAGGTCAGAAAGAAAATATTCATTTAAAAAACATGTTTCAAATCCAAAATCAAAAAAGTACTCAAATCTTCATAACATTTTACAAAAAAAGGTCTTTCCATTTCACTACAAATAAAATAAAAATCGTGTATTATTTATACAAATATAGTATTATATCTTGATATAAGCGTAGAATAAATAAAGTCTCATTGTTCATAAAAACAAGTATTCTTTTTTTTTTTTTATTTAAATTATTGCAATGATAGTAGTAATTGTTTATGTTCGACGGAAACCAGATGACCGGGAATAATTTGTTCCATAGATAATAAAAAAGTATATACAGGTAAATATAAATAGACGCACAAATATACTCTCTCCATGTCATTGGCTTAATAGAGGGGAATTAATAATCATAATAAAAATAATAAAGAAAAAAAAAACGCGACAAGTATATGATAATTGAAAAACAAAATGAAATACTGTTTCTATCATGATCAGGTTCGTTGTTATATTTAAGAAAGAAACAATGAAAGAATAATAATTATTAATCAATAAATGTCCAAAGTTCAATACTCGCAATTATAAAATCTTCATTTGTTGTTAATCTTTCATTATTGAAGGTTTTAGTTGAACAAGTACGACCATGATATAAATCAGCATCAAGCCATAAACCATATGTACCTCTAAAATAGTGTCCGAAGAAATTGATAAAAGAAACACTATAAAAATAAGAAAGACTTACTCTCCACTTCCAAAACCAATGGAATGAAGATCACCTTTGACAAAAAATTCATTATAACCTGACCAATTAAACACCTAAAATAGAAAAAAATTAGATACGATTACCCAAACTTGTCCCATAATAAAACAACGAATTGATACTCGACTAACTATTTCTAATTGTTCTATGTTAATAAAACATGAGGAATTTTTTGGCTCATTATGATCTTTTATTAAATGCTTGAATAAAATAAATAATAATGCAAAAATTATTTGCCTTCAGCATCTCTATTATATTTAAACTCAATGTACTTTTTTTTATGGTTTTTCAACAGGTACTTATAACTTATAATTACTAGAAAAAACCACTGGTGAAAAAAATACTATCTTGAATCATTACTTTTTATATGCGTGTAGACTATTATCTTAATATATTTCGGAAAAACAAAATGATTATCCTTCTAATTAGAAATGAATTGTGCATCATAGTTCAAATATACGTCTCAGATAATTATATAGTGTCATCCTAAACTTTCACTATTAGCAAACCTTCTTAAATGAGTGTAATCTGAAATTTTTAGTTATAAAAAAGTAAAATTATAAAACGAAATTAATTAAATATTGTTATTGGTTTTTCGTAACAAGCGAAAAGGTCATCTATTCATACTCATACCAAGAGTGCATTTTATTAAGATCGTAGTTTTTATTATTTTTTCTTACAATTATAATAAGTACTCTTTTATTAACATTGAATAAAGCAATCCATTTAGGCAAAGTATGATGAAAGATACTCAAGATTTTCTTTTCAGGAAACTAATTTTTCGACCAGTCTGTACAGAAAAAAGAAAATAAGAACAATACGAGCGAAAAACGGAAGGGCATTGTTTTAAACACTGTGATGCCAATTGAGCGCCAATGGGAGGTAGCTCTCTTGATACGTTCGTTTTCTATTTATGTTTATGTGCGATTTCCAATTGTATGTACTTACTCGAAATTCAGGATGAAGTGTAAAGAGAAATGATTCTCCAGTACCATAAAAGCCTTCACTAACCATTAATTGATGAGATGTAAAAGCACCAAATATCTAATAATATGAAAAAAACAAAAATATATTCAAAAAGAATGTGTTCTGTTTTCTTTTTCTTTTACATTTTGTTCAATATCTTTTATAATCAATAACGCTGGTGAATCATGATCAATTTCTAATGATCGTCGATATAATTGGTTTAAACTAAATCCATGTGTTTCTGTACTAAATATCAAACACCAATTGAGAGCATGTACACGAGCTGGTAATTCAAGTAAAATCTTAAAATAAAAACAAAATTCACTAAAAAAAATTTCAATATTAAGATTTATTCAATATACTTGTTTGGATTGTTCTTCATTGATTAGTGTTGATGGATGAAGAAGTTTAGGGGCTGGAATACCAATAGCAAAGTCATGTCTCTGATGTGCTTGTGTCGAACTAAGACGTCGGTAAATTTCATCGACACTAATAATCTAAACAAATAAATTAATCTTTATGTAAATATCTTTTCTTAAATAAAGTTCAATAAATTATTCTATGCGTTTTTTTTTGTTATATACCCCAGGAGAAGAATGTCGTTCGTCCGATGAAAATGAACGACTATGTGTTGAATGATCATTTAATGTTGATGTTAAAAAACTTCTAGCACGTTTTCTAAAGCGTGTTAATTGTTGTTGATGATGAGGAATTTGTTCGAGAAAATTTTTTTTTGAATCCGATAAACGTGTTGCTAATGAATGAAGAGTAAAACGACGTGTACGAGTTGATGAAGGTGGTATTTTAGGTTCATTAGATGTACATGAACTATTGGCTGTTGCCGTAGATAAAGTACGAATCATACTTAGATTTGTTCTTCTGTTGTTATACTATTATAGTTATAGGGCACCACAACTACAGAAAAAGAGAGAGAGAGAGAAAGACTATTTGAGCTTCTCTCCCTCTCTCTCTCTCGTCCTATCTATGTTTTTACCAATCCTTTGAATAGTGGTTGCGTGTGCGTATGTTATTCTTTATTCTACTATGTCTCGTCTTCCATCGCTATACTTCATCAGAGAACACATATGATTATGTTGAAAGAAAAAAAAGAGCGAGAAGAGACATTAGAAAAAAAAGACGTGAAAATATGAGTAAAATAGTGGATTTTGTTTGTCGGTTGTTGAATTTTGAATAATTATACATATATATATATATTGAGATGGTTTATAACTAAAACAGAGTATCATAATACGGCAGATAAATGGATCATATTCGAGATAGATATATTAACAAAAGTATATATTGTCATCTTGTTCTTGTGTTTCTTTCGTGGATTATATTACTCGCTAACATGCATTGATCCTTCAACTAACAAAACATTCTCATCGTTCTACATTTTTTTTTGTCATTAATCCTTAACATACCACTTTAAAATCACGTTCATCGACATATCATATGAATGTTAACTATACAAAACGAAAAAAAAAACATACGAACAATCAATGACTTTCGATTGAAGTGATGATAATTACTACGTAGTTTTTGAAGTTTATGGTAATAAAATTAATAATTGAATTTCTCTTATCTATTGAATTAATCAATTTCCATATTCAAGACTCTATACCACTCAAATTTAATATCTATTTTTTACAAATAACAACAAACAATGTGTATATATGCATTAGTTTCCTTTTCATTGAAATAGATCCATTAACAAAAAAAAAAACCATTAATTTCTTTTTTACAAGTCTATTTCCGTTAAACCCAAAAAATATTGTACCAACGATATTGAGATACATGTCCCTGAAACAGGTCAAACGAAAAAAAAAAAGAATAATTTGCATACGATTTATTATATATACGAACACTCCTAAAGATTAAAACGTCATTGAAAAAATAAATATTGAGATTCATCTTTAACAGTAGAATAGAATAAAAAAAAGGGGATTTTTATTGTTTATGAATCATATTAATAATATCATTCATCACTTAACATAATATATAAAAAAAACATGTTTATAAATTTTTAAGGTTTCAATCTATTATGTTAATAGAAATCGGTTTCTTTTTGTTTTTTTTTTTTTAATTTTATATAACTTAGACGTCTTTTTATTTTTAATTATTTAAGAATATTGCTATTCTTACCTCCCAATCTTTGAGCAATGTATTTTGTCGTGATAGATAATGAGGTCGTTTTTGGTGTTCATTGGTTTTTGTTTGGTTTCTTACATTTTGACATGTTGAATAATCAGTAGTCAATTGAGGATTATCATCAGTTAATAAAACAAAACCTTTACTTGAAGATTGATTATTCGAGTTTATTTGATGAATATCTAACGGTTGTTTATCATCATCAATTAATGGATCTAATGCACGTTCAGGCGTCCAGCGAAGAAAAAATGAATGTAAAGGACCAGTTCTAAGAGTAAAAAAATAATTTTTCTTCTGAAATTAAATGATAGAAAAAGAGAGAAGAATCAATAGAGCGATAAATATTTTCTACTTTAATATCATTATAATATTGATGCATTTCTATTGCTTCAATGAACTTCAATCAACAAGAGATATTTACAGAATAAAAAAGCAAAATAATACTGGAATTATTTACAGTTTCTTAGGTACGACCTGGTATTTAAAATATTTCTTTATGCTTTCTAGGGAAATTATATCTAAATACTAACCGAGTTCCGAATATAAAGTCGAAAAAAGAAATAAATTATGAATTATCTACATGATATTTTTATATCAATGAATATAATTGATAATGTTGAACAAGAAGTACATGTATTAAGTAACAATAACATTTAAAATTAGTTAAAAAAGTTCGTCCTTATAAATCTTTCGAGCAGACTTATGATCATTTTACTGGATTTTCTTTGCTTAAATATCAAATAATGGAATTTCGATTTGAAACTTGGCTCTTAAATGAATATAATAACCCTTACAATATCTTCAAAGTTTCAGCGGTTAAGAATGTTCTTTTATTGAGAGATTGATTTTCTAAGCAAAAATGTCATTTTTCACAAACATGCAAGAAAATCGAATTCACTTGAAAATTTAATATTGTGACAGCAATCCATTATTTCATTTTCCAATAAAGAAAGTTTAGTGAAATGATCATTAGTTGGCTTCAAAAGTCGATGAGAACAAACTTTTTCGACTTTCTCTAGTCTCACCAAGACGTCCTTGTGCCAATACAATTAGAGTGGCTTCCTGGTGAGAACAATTTCATTGAAGTAAAAAGAGATTTATTGAAGTTTAGTGTAATCGTTTTTATTCTATTCTGAGTATTATTGTTATTTGAAAACAGGCTGTGGCAAGGGAATCAATGTCGCTAAAATATATCGATGGTTTTAAATGATCTGTATCCGTTCTTGTATTGACTTCTTTAGTATCTGTTTTCACTACTTAAGTAATTTTACTTATTATTAGTTCCACTGATCCATCAGAACTTTCAATCTGCTTAAGGGAAAATCTATACTAGAAATAAGAAAAGTACAGCGTGGGTTGATCATAAAATATTGTTATTGTACTTCTTTAAAAAACTACATTAATATGAAGTCTGTCAATTAACTCATAAGGTAACATTTCTAAGTGATAATGGAGTTTCATGCTGATAATTTATCTAGAAGTCACTCATGATGTACCGAAAAGAATACTGAGTGAGTTCGTGCTGCTGACTACTTCTGATCAATTAAGATTCAGTTTACTAAAATTTCAGCTTGCAGTACAGTATATAAAGAAAAAAAATCAAATCACTAAGCTCCTCAAGCGATATTGTATTCTCAGACAAACAAGATTATCTTGCATCGTTTATGTAGTACATGTCGTTTTTACAAGTGATATATCTTCTGATGAGATCGTATTTAAATTTTTTTCTATATATATAATATGTCAAGTTGAAATCTCGGTAAAATAGATGTAATTTATCAAGAAATGGTCAATAGCATGAATCCTTTAGGAACTCTCTTAGGCTGATCGTGTTCTGCTTGCCAACAGAATATCAGTTCGAATTCGATAATCACCTGGGAAATTTTCTTCGTTAGTTCTTGTACTTGTTAACTTCACTTGTCATAATATAGTTACGCACTGAGCAAATCATTTTCTTATTGTTAACGGCATTATTTCAGAGAAATCAACAAAAACAGAATTTTAAAAATAATATCTCTATCTAGGATAACATAAAAATTTTCCTAGTAGTTTTTGAACAAACTATGAAAATCACTATGAAAACATAAAGTAAACTTGTTAATAGAATTTAAAATGCTTATTACGGATATTTTATTTTTGTTTCTCTTTATTGCTAAAGAAGTCTCGTTAGAATTTCGACATTGAATTTCAAAATTTTCTTGTTTGTTGAACGAAAAAAAAACAAACATTGAAAAAATTTTCCTACGAAATATGATTAATATTTTACTTCTCTTTAGGTACAGAAAACCAATATTCTTGTTTAAGTTGTTTTCTTCCATAAACATTATCATTAAATTTTTCACTATTCTTTTTATATTGTTTTGCACGTAATGATGGTATATCATGTGCATGAATACTTGTTTTTATACATAAATAATAAGGTATTTCAATATGGTGTGGAGCAAAATAATTCTCTTGTTGTTTACGTAATAATTCTGCATGATAAAGAAAAAAAGATTTTCTATTAAAAATAAATAAAATCATCACAACAAAAAAGAACTTACCGTCGATTTCACCAAAACGTTTAGTAAATTGATCAAGTGGTACATAATTTTTCAAAACACATCCTTCTAAACACAAGACAATAAATTAAATAAAATCTGTTTTTTATTTTTCTTCATAAGAAAAATTTTGATAAGCACGAAGCAGCAGCAGCAACGTACTCTTTATTTTTACAGCATGTCTGAATCGTGTCCAATCGAAGACATAGGAAATTTCTTTATATGATTATTATAAAATATATTTATTAAATACAGATGAAAAACAAAAAATAACTTACGTGATGGTATTCGATGAAGATTTATATTTATATTTTTATCATTATCATCATCATCATCATCAAGTAAAATTCCAATTGAATGTTTATAATCATCAAGTGGTTGAAGTAAATCATTTGATAATTGTAATGAATCATCTAAAAAATTATCCTCTGTTGGTGTTGGAAGAAATGTTTCATCATTATAATTATTATCTGGTGAATTCAATGACATTTGTCGTTTAATAGTTGATGCTGCATTAAATAACATATATGTTTCATTTGATATGGATGAAGGATTTAATTCTTTATCAATTTTATCTAATAAACATGACATTAAATCATGAATATCCTCTTCATCTTTATTAATTGTTGGATGTTTTAGAGAATGTTGAAAACTTTTTAAACTTGTTGAATGATACATTTTTCGTTTTTCTTCATCACTATATTAGAAATAAAAATTTATTGATAAAGAAAGAAAGAAATAAACAACAACAACAAAAAATTTCTTTACTGGAATGTTGCTTCATGTTCATATATTGCTAAATCTTCATATAAACTAATACCAGCAAGATAATCCATTCTAATAATAGAATAAGGAGAAGAAAAAAGAGTTAACATATAACAAATAATTGATCTGATTGATTTGAAGAAAATCAATTAGTTCTGTGTCAAAGATATTCATTTTTATGTTTTGTATAAACGAAGAATTTTATTCGCCAGTGTTTTATTCCAGATGACAGCAGCAATCTTTCAAAAATCGAAATAGTCCACATGGAATTTATAATTATTGTACGACATACAATATGTCTGTGTTCCCAAAAATAGATGCTCACTCTCCAGAAGAGAAAATCTCGATAAAATATTGCTATTCTTCTCTTTATATGTTTCTATAATCATATTGTAAGTGTCTGTGCATACGATGTTTGTTAAATTTTGGTCTACTAGAAAATATTTTCGACAAGTCAAAAGTTATGAGTTTCGGTTTTTTTAATTCGAAAATAATTAAATAATCTTTGAAAAGTCAAAAAAAATTAGTTTAGACGAAAAACTTTTGTATTTTCATTACTATTTAAAGTCCTTTTTTTTCCTCTTTAGATAAGATGTCTGAGTTTTCGTTTTTTTTTCTTAATATTCCTTTTTAAAAAATCGACAACCGTTGTTACATCAAAAAGAGTTCGTGGGAAAATGCTTGAGTGAAAGCTACAGCTTACATTTTGTAGAAAAATGTTCGCTTTACAATACGGCTGCCTTCGACAATTTTCAACACGTTCGAAAAGGGAGTCGTAGAGTAAACAAAAACCTGTTGACTGAGAATTAAAGATAATTTTTCAGGTCTTTCAAAAAGTGCCACAATACTTGACTTAACATCTTGTCTAAAAACTCTCCGATCACTTGTTGCAGAAGAAAAATCACACATAATTTATCTTTACTATTGAAATCTCTGAGTGTTGATTCATCAAATGTAACAATTGATATTTCTATATTTTAAATCAACAAAGGACTTCTTTTGTTCTTTTAATGTATCTCTTATCAGTTCACTTATCATTTAAAGGTCTTAAAATAGAACAAGTACGTTTAATAACATTCGCTTGTTTTCTAATTAAAATATGATAAGTGCCGAAGTCCTAGCTGTCAATGGTAACATTATTTATTTTCTTTACCTTAATAAGAAATAGCTAATATTTACAGGTCTCTTATTTTAATCAACAAATTCAAAAAACAGGAAATCAATTATTTTCTCTCTCGTACAATGTCATCAATTTAATAAATTCAAATTTATCGGGATTTTTTATAGGAAATTCATGATTTAAAATTTTCTATGATACGATAAAATGAAAATGAAATATTCGACTAACCGTATTATCAATCCGTATTTCTCAATACCATGTTCTTTAACCAATGGATCGAGTACATCGGGATCAAACATAACTGCATTAGGTGTGACAAGTAAAGTACCGGCGACACTTTCCTATAATAAAAGTTTTTGAAAACATCATATAGAAATTTCTTTTTTCATCAATATGTGCTCAATAAGTGTGAAGCAACTACCATAGCATATTTTAAAGTTAATTTTCAATCCCTTTATTTTTGTAATTTGGAGACAATGACGAAATTATTTTGTCTATACGAAGAAAACAATACATAATTCTGTCTAATATAAGCAGAAAATAAAGACGCATAAATGGCTGAAAGTGTTAAACATCGAAGTTTTTATAATGTTAGACTATTTTAGCTTTTTCGAGTAGACATTTAAGCAGAAAAGAGCTCTAAAAATAACCTTCAATTAATTAAAACTTCTACTGAATTTATTTGCTAAATGAATAGTTTCGACTGATTGAGTATCTAAGAATAATTTAATTAGTATGAGTTAAATGATACCATTTCAAATTTCTTTTCATTTCATAAATCCATAGCTATTATTTAAAACAACTCTCATCCTTTACAATTATTTATTTTTGAAAGAAAAATATAATAATAATTTAATCTAATAATATCATTTGTCTAGATATCATTACTGTTTAAACTAATTTAAATGAGAAACATTAAGTATTTTCTTCATATTAGATTTAATTCAATTGTCTTATGCTAGTCATTCAGTTATACGTAATTTAAAAATATTCATTGTACATGTATTTTTATCTAAGGTCAGTAAACAAAAACATGTTTTTCATTATATATGTCAATCATTTTTATATACAATTTCAAAGCTTGTTTGTTAGTAATATTTAAAAGACACATGTTGGAATAGAAATGAAGACAGATTTTTTTAAAATTCTTCATAGTATATTATTCAATATATCTTTATGACAATTTCTACAGAATAAAAAACGAAAACAAATACTTACATGATCTTCAGTCATTAATCGTACATTAACTTTAATAAAACGTTGTAAGCATTCATTATCTACCCGATGACTTTTATCTATTGACACAGACTTTTGTAATGTTTTCATTTGTTTACTATTATCTTCGTTCGAGGTTTTTAAATGATCTTCATTTGTTTTTAATAATGGTTCATCTTCATTAGTTGAATCACTTTTTAATCGTTCAGCATGACCTGGTCGTGCTGTTATATTTCGAGTCATTGACCAAACCATAGGACCCAAATCTTTTTGTAATGAATGATGAGGTGGCGAAGAAGACGATACACTTGATGAACGATTATCTTTAAGAATAAATGCATCGCTATCTTTAGTTTTTGTTAATGGTGAAGATAAGTTTGTATCCGTAGGAACAGGAGGAATAACAGTTGTTGATTGTTGTTCATTTGAATTCTTTGATGAATTTTCATCAGGTACAAATAATATCTATAAAAGAAAAATAACGGATAGATTTTATTAGACATTAATTAAATAAAAATGAAACAAACTTGTCCAGGATAAAGAGTACGTGTATTTAGTTTATTGAGTTTAACTAATGCCGATGGTGTTGAATTAAAATGAAGTGCTACCTTTTCTAATGTATCAGTACTACTAACCTAATAATATTTGAAAAAAGAAAACATTTCTATTATGATTAATAATTTGATATGAATAGTATATTTTATACCGTGTATAGTGTAGATCCGTCTGGTTGAGATATTGCTCGATGACGTTTAGAATCTCTACCTAAGTAAATATAAATAATTATCATCATAATAAATTTCTTTTTCTTCTCACTTGAATTCATCGGAACTGATGGTAAAATATTGTGTACATCTGCTGTTGGTTTCATATTTATTAATTTTTGTGTCAACAGATGATGCTCATCATTTTTATTAGCCATCATTTAAAAGAATATATAATGAAATATTTAATATTAATGATGATTTAGATAACACGATTTATTGAAGTGTTATATTAAAAGAAAAAATTGTTTAACAATCTTGATTTATTCTTTATTATTATCGAACTGATTTCGATTTGTTAGTTGTAAGTCCTAGGGAGTCTAATTCATATTAATTGATGACAATAAATGATAAATATCTCTTGAGAATGTGTCGGTTTACAACAAATAAAAAGACAACAAAGACAGAGAAGAAAAAAGGAGTCTAAAAAAACATGAATAAAGACTGATAGAAGATGTAAAGATCTACGATAACGTTGTATGCTTACCCTTAGTCTTTTAGTAGCATTTTTTTTTCGTTTTTTTTTTCTTGCAGCTGGTTGATACGCAAACAAGTCTGGTAATAGTATCTTTTACTTTTCTTTTTTGATAAAGAACAACAATTATATATATATATACAACAAAAACAAGTCTCAATGACAAGTGATCAACTAAGAAGATTCATTCATCTACAAAAACCGTTTTGTTTTTCTTTTAATATATTATTGTTATTTAGAATAAAATAAATTGAGTTACTTTAATAGCTTTTAGCTGTGAAGAATAAGAGAATATAGGGCAAATTCAATTGACTACTTGTGCCATCGAAGTTTGTTACTGGTTTACAATTAACCAATAAAAAAACGTTTAAACTATTATTCTCCATTGGTCTATTATTTAATTGCGATAGTAGTAAATAAATGAAATAGTGTCATTGAGTTCATTACAGATCTATTCAACATAATTTAAAACAATGTTAACTCGATTTATCTCTGCTGTTGTATATAATCAACAGTCGTTAGCAACCAAATCACTTCGTTTATTAACAACAACTGCAACAAAGTTAAGTGATAGTGATCATGTAAGATCGAAAGCTTTAGAAAAAGCTTCTCATGATCTGAAAACACGTAAAGAACAACGATGGTTAGATACTGTAGCTTCAGATAGTGGTAAGAAAAACAAAATCTGATATGAATTTTCTTCTTATATGTATACACATACAAATTTATCTTATAGAAGCCATTGTCAAAGGAGAAAAGCAACATGCAAGAAAACTAGGTGATGACAAAAAGGATATGACTGATCTTCAAACTGATACAATTAAAGCAATTGAAGAAAAAGATAGAAAAGGTCATCTACCACAATTCGATGTTGGTCGACATGATACACCTGAATCTCGCATTGGCAGTGGAGGTTCTCATAAAAAAGAACGTTGATTGATTGAATGAATGATTTGTTTGTCCAAATCTGTATTGTTTTTCCTTTGACTCATCCAGTAATTTATAGTTTACAATGTATTTTCATTATATTTATTCTCGCTGGGCATAGATTATAAATGAAGAAAATATATTTCTAAATTAAATTTGTTAAGAAAAAAAAATCGGATTGATTTTAGTTGTTTTTTGTTAAATAAAAATAAACGCTATAAAAAATATATAGCATGCACTTGTTTATATCGAATCATAGAAAAACAGTAGTACTATTTCAATTAGTATTTAAATATTATTTTCAAAAGAGATAATTAAGTCAACAAAGTGTCAATAAATTCTATGATCCTTTGAGTGTATTTATCAAATTTGATATTATGTCTTTAATTTATGAATTGAAATCTTGCAATGATCATATCGCTGATTGATAAAAGTATGATCGTATATGGTTGTGAGTTGAGCTGCACTAATCGACTAGATAACTTTTGCGTTTTGAACTCAATAATAAGTGTTTATAGAAGCTCGACGAGAGTGAAGAAAATGGACCCCTTTCTAAGTGAAAAGAAGCATATGCGAAACGCGATATCATACTACGTCGTACGTATCATCGTCGTCATTATCGGGTCAAGTAATACGACCGTCTATGAGTATCATCATCTTCATCCTTTGATGTATTTTATAGAAAGATTTGTTTTTTTTTCAGGTAAAGTAGTTATTAAAATAATGTATTTTTATGTAGTGTCCTACACACTTTTCAAAGATTTATTTTCTATGAAAAAGTACACGTTTTCTTGTTGCTGATAATGCTGAAATGAGATGAAGTGTTTTAATGCCAAACGTCATAATTGTGGGCATATACATGAATGCTTTTTTTTTATTACGATAATACATGTTCACCTTTTTCGATAATTCATTTTCTTCTTCCTATATTCAGTTACTTCATCATATGTTTGACCATCATCTGTAAATGAATATTAATTAAAAATGATTTTGATACGTTGAGTTCTCATTTATTCACGTGTCGAGTCCGGATATGGAATCATACTCGTAACCCGAACCAATGTTCTGGACGCTGAATACTCGATGGGATTGCACGACACTATTTGAATGTTTATATTTCATTCTTTTTCTCTAAAATTTAAACTTTTGTTCAAATTACATAATTAGTTAAATTTGAATATCATGTTATGGATTACAAAGAATATGGAACTAAAAATCCAACAATATGTGACACTTATTGTTTTTCGTGTTGAATGCAAATTTCAAATGGTATTCGAATTTGGCTATAGTTTTTCTATATATTTGATTTATCATCATATTTCACCCGAAGAAATTTCTAGAAATAAAGGAGCTATTATATTTCTCAAGTGATTAAACCAATGAAGGAACAAACATAATATAAAGAATTTCAAAATGTTTTGTAAGTCGTATATTCTTCTGACACATGAATATTTGTTGATCAGGTATATTTAGTAAACAAATAAAAAAAGCGAATTTTTCATTTGAAATCCAAAAAAAAAAGTTTCTTTATATAGCTGTATTACAGCTGATTAGTAATGATTATGCGAGGCGCGTTAAATGCTACTCAACTATCAGATACTTCTTGTATTGGTTTTTCTAAATTTGATTATTGCTGAGCATCATAATACTGTTCTCAATAATCATGACAATATTATACTAGTTTCATCTGTACTTGGCACAAGACTAATATTCAATATCGATAGAATCGATGAACTAACAGATGGCGAAAGTCTTAGAACAATTTTTTGGTACAAAGGTATTATTGATTTGAAACCATTATATACTTTTGCCAATCAATCACGATACCATATAATAAATCGAACAAAACTTTTAATAAAAAAAACATCGATTGGTGATGAAGGATTTTATACATTAAAAATTCAAACGAAATTAAATACTTATAAACAATATCTTTATCATGTATGTTTTTCTTTTTCTAAAAAAACCAAAGCATGCAAATTAACCTGATTAAACTATTCCTTTAGGTAATCTTATTTACACAAAATCTTTCACTTTTCATAACTCCACCATCATTTCAACGAATTACTTATCATGCTGAACAATCGATCAATTTTACTTGTTCAATATCTTTATATGCGGATCGTACTTATATTGAACAAACACGTTCTTTATTTTCATCGACTTGGTTTATGATTATCTATAATAATGATCCTGATCATTATCAACTACTATCATCATCATCTATTTCTTATATATATACAGCTTATCTTTTCAATTATGAACTTAATCAAAATGATCATAATCAAACAGTATCTTGTGCACTTATTCAACAAGATTTAAAACAAATCGTTATACTTAATGTTACTTTAACAGATATTTTAAATATTGAATATAAAGCATATTTATATGGTAATTATTATTTTACACGTTCATTTAATAGTTATTCATCGATTGAAATTAATTGTGAAGAATTTAATGGAAATCCAAAACCAGTTTATAGTCTTATATGGATGTTAAATGGAGAAAATCAAACATTATTGAATAAAACAAAATACGGACGATATTTTATTAATAATGCTACTTGGCGACATAGAGGTAAATAGTCTCACTACAGTAGAATTGCATTACCGTCTAAATTTAATAAACGTAACATACAAAATGATTGAAATGGTATTGTTTCTTTGATTATAGAACCAAAGCTAATACGTATTTCCAAATACGGATTGCTCCATAATGTTCTTTTTTTTAATTCGGTGTTCACTCGTCCTTATTATTGAAGAGAACAGTTTTGAAATTATAAAGCAAAGAATCATAGCTATTTATCTTAGATCATTAATTTCAAATATATTAGATTCATAAGGACGTCTTGATGAGACTAACAAAAACCTAAAAGTGAAAATAATGCAGAAAGTTTTTTTTTTGTGACCATAGGCAATCATTGACTGTAGTCAACAACTACCACAACCTACTTAAATAAAATTAACAGATTGTATTGTGTCAAATCTTTTGAATAATTTAATAAACCAAGTTTCTCATAAGAAAATCAGAGGAAGTGACAACCCTGCTCTGAAGTTAATTTATGGTCATTTGACAGAACTTTTCGATCCAGTTTTATGGATATAGTGAAACTTTATAAAAATGAATTTTCGACGTACACTTTTACTTCTAGATAGGTCAGATGATCAATAGAATATTCATAATATTTCTGATCAAAGAAATGTTTTTTTGTCGACATGTTAAGTTTTTAAGTAAAACTGATCTTTGTTAGATGCCTTCGATCAATGATGATTATTTTGAAAATTCAATATCTCGACAATAGTAAGATTTCGATTTTTGATTTTTTTTCATTTATACGTAAAAATGATCAAAAATTCAATAGAATGATCATAACTCGACTTCAAACTACTATAGAGACATAATCTTCTAGGTTTTTATTAGTTTCACTAAGATATCTGTGTGAGCCGAATGTAATCTCAAACGGCGGGTAGCAGTTTGGATGATTTCTTGGTTAAATCACAATGTAATGTAATCTTAAAATCAAATATCTCATGTATTAAACTAGTAATAAAAAATTAGATGAATGCAAATAATCTCAATCTGATTCAGTGTGTAATTTTGAATTATTTTTTTTATCAGGAAATTATACATGTCTTGCTGAAAACTATCTTAATAATCATCAACCAGTCCATCAATCATTTCGTCTTAATATTTGGTTTAATGAACATCAATCAAAAATTCAACATTCAACAAAATTATTATCATTAAAACAACCGTTTCAATCAAATAGAACTAAATCAATTATTTTAATATTTCTAATTATAATTTTTCTTTTTTCTTGTATTTTCTTCATTTTATCATTGTATTATTTTTGTTTACAAACTAAATAAAAAATAAAGACAAAATCCTTTTCTGTTTTAACAAATCAATTTATTTTAGAAAAACTACAAGGATAAGGAAAAACAAAGTAAAAAAAAAGACACCAAATGATTTTGTTCATCTGCTTTTACCAATTAGGCTCTTTCATTCCACCAACTAATTGACTTCGATTACGTAAATAATCTTGTCGAAGATTTTCATGTTTATGAACAAATACTGAATAAGCAATAAATGGAAATATATACCAACGTTTAATAGACACTTCTTTTAACCAAAAACGAGTTACTTCAAAAACCATGTTTATTTTTTGATTCCGATTTTTTCACTAGCTGTGTCTAATGCTTTTTTTGCTTTATAACGTTGTGTACGTTGATAATCAAAATATATAAATGTGGTTGAAGTAACAAAAAGTATAAAAGCTAATTTGGATTTCCAAAGTTCGTACCAAATGGAACGTGGACGATAAGGATGTGTAGCAAGACCAGTTAATGGAGATTCTCGTGGAGATGGAAGATAAGGTGGACGAACTTGATATTCAATAGGTAGAGAAGAATTAGTTGATGATCGTTGATTTCTAGTTGTTACTGATGATGGACCATCAGCCATAAAGATTGATTTTTTCTGTATATAATTGAATAGGAGAAAAAAATGATGATATAACCAATGGTATTTTGTCAGACCATGGATGACTCACATTTTATTATCAGATTATGCTTCAGTTATGCACTTAACTCATGGTTTCGAAACAATAAATCCTTTGCAATGATTAAAGTATCGAAAAATTTTAAATTTAATGTACAATCGAATGAGATTCTTCCCACCAGCAGCAAGTCTCTGGCAAGCTGTATTTTTTTGGATTGAACATATTTTCCTTCTGCTGCTCTCTATAACTTATAGCGACATACTTCTTAGCAACATGGCAAGAATATATTGATGGTGCTAATGAATATACGAAACTTATGTTTCTTTTTCAAATCTTCATTATATCATATAAAAATATTCGGGATTTATTCATCGCTTCAAGATTTTAGAAAGGTGTTGCATTGCTAATAATTCTAAGAATTGAATATGATATACATAGTGTTGTTGATAATTTTTCATTGAATAGTTGCTTTAAATTTTAAAATTCTAATAAATAAATCGTTTTTTTTTCATAATAAGAATAATTTAATTAGAATGAATTTTTTCTCATTCGTTAGTTAATTATCCAATAAATACCTATTTCAATCCAATGACACAATCTGTCTAATATAACTAGCCTTCAAAATTATATCGTTATTATTTTTCTTGTTTTCATATAATTGATTAGATCATGGGCCTTTGCCGATGTCCACAACGCAAAGTATCAACTTTATTTTGTTTTAAACATCATGTTAATGTTTGTGAATCATGTCTTGTTAATGAACATCCACAATGTATTGTACGTTCTTATATATCTTGGTTACAAGATAATGATTACAATCCAAATTGTTCTTTATGTCAACGATCATTAAGTGAAACAAGTGAAGAAACAATAAGACTTATTTGTTATGATTTATTTCATTGGTCTTGTCTTAATGAATATTTTCGTTCATTACCATCACATACAGCACCTGATGGTTATACATGTCCAACATGTCATACATGTATTTTTCCACCATCAAATCTTGTTTCACCTGTTGCTGATCGTCTTCGAGAAAAATTAGCAACTGTTAATTGGGCAACACGATTACCAATTTTATCATCTAATGAGTCGATTATACAACAAGAAAAACAACAACAACAACAACAACAACAATCATTAACTGAAACAGAAAAAAATGGATATGTTATTGTTAATTCAACTATTAGTGGAAATAGTATACAAGGAGGAACAAGTGGATTATCACATCTTCCACATCGAACAACTGATACAACACAACAATCAACAATGTTAACAATGAAAGTATGTTTATATAACTGTTTTATAGGATAAAACGAAAATTCTGATAATCAAAAACAAATGTGACTTGCTATTTTTAGATTAGAATGACAATTTAATTTTTTTTTCGAATATTAAAAAATCATTTGTTAATTTATGCTTCGAATGAAAAACAAATCTATTTTTCAATTGTGCTTTTTGTAATAAGAAAAACAAGCTGTTGCATTTCGATGGCATAAATCATATACAAAGTTTTTGTCTATGGTCTAAAGTAGTAATGAGTGTTTGTAAGGAGGGAATAGCCGTACTGATAAGCTAGATATTCTTCTTAACATAAATAATGCTCTATATTTGTTTAATTAATATGATAATTGAGAAAAGGTAGAAAATAAAGTATGATCTAATAGATCTGTTGTTGAGATATCTGAAAATATTAAACAAATTCATTACCTTATTACTGATAACGATCCTTGTATTGCAATTGACAAATTACAATTGTCAATAAGTCTAACCCAGAACTAAATCATGATGAAATATAGAACTATTTTTAGACTATTAATAAATATAAAGAAAATATTCTCGAACTATTTATGTGGTATTATACTGTTGATGTAATTGCTTTCAGTTTACCCTAAAAATATTAATTAATGTCAAGATATTAAAAAAATTCTTACAACTTAATGGTTTTGATATATCTGAAAGAATTATATTTGTTGATTTTAGCCAATTGAAAATGATCCAGATGAAGAAAAATATAAACGTCGTAGTGTTTTTACATGGTTTGCTCGATGGTTACGTTCTCGTCAAACAACAAATCGAAAAGATTCTATACTTAATCGAACACAAATATCTCGTACTCGTTATATAGTTTATATGATATTTGTAATTTTATTTGTTTTTCTTACAATTCTAACAATTTTATATAATATAACACGAGGTGATAATAATGAACATATAAATCGAAACGATGATCCACAATTTAATCCATTTAATAATCCATTTATACATGTTGGTGGTCGATTTTTGAAAAAAACTGTAAAAGATTCAAATTTACCTGATGATCAACCAAAATAATAACAAAATATTATCTTATACATACTTTAATCGCTTGTTTCTTTTTTTTCTTCTATTTCCAGTTCCAATTTATCTTTTTGTATATCGATAAAATTTTGTTTTAAGTAAACTATTTATTTAAAAGAAAATCTTTTTCTTTTGAAATTCATTTTCATTCTTTTTTTTTTTTTTTTTTTTTTATAAATAATAGATAAATTTTAATTATTTTTTTTTGTTTTTATTAGTATCAGCATAGAAACCATTCTTTTAATATTTCATCATCGATTCTTAAAACTGCACTTCACCTATACTTGAATGACAAAATTTATAATTATATTTCATTTTTTAACAAAAACCTTCAAAGAAAGTGTTTAATCATATGATGATAAGAATATTTTATTAGAATTTTATTATTGAATTCAAAAAATGAACATATGGGCGCACGCAAATCTATCGATTGGTATGAAGAAAAACTACAGAACTTAGTGGTATTAAAAATAAAAACTATTTATGATATTCACTATTTTTTATTTTTATTTTTTTAAAGTAAACATTTTAAAACGCACAGAACGTTTTTTTTTGATTTGCCAAGTGTATTCGAGCAGTTGTTTTTTTTTTCGTGTTAAAAATGTACTGAATAATGTTGAATGTTACGTATAGGTTTGTATGACAGGAACTTTTATTCTTGTATCATAGACAATTGTTTCACTATTATTTATGTGCTACATCAATTGAGCATCTGAAAAGATAAGAATGAGTCGTTTATTGAGTTAATAATCTTATGTATCGTACTCCATCGACATTTATCATCAGAGAATTATTGTCACGCTTATAATAGAACTATAACTTAAGCTAGAATTCATCAAAACAAGTACGCTTAAGTTGAAGGACAAGCGTGAAGAATTTTGACAGTATCTGATTCTTTTTTACAGACATATAGTTAGATTTAGATTTTTAGAAAAAAATCCTCTTGAAAAGTCAAGATACACAGCAAATTTCAAAGAACTTTGTAGATTAAAGTATCTGTCTACTTACAAAGATATTATTTGAAATTATTATTTTTTATTTTAGATGAAATATTGTATGCTGTGCGGAAAGAAACGGAGCGACGTCTCTCTGAAAATGAGTTTCTTCTTTCAGAGTTTGTGATTATTGTACCACACACTAACAGTTGACGATGATGGAGAATTCCCTGTTCTATAAAATTACTACCTTTATTTTTCAAATAATTTCTTTTTTGTCGACGTAAAATTTAAAAGATGAACACCTACTCAATTCTCTACCTATTAATGCCTAGATAATTGAGTAGACATTCATCTTTTAAATTTTGGGCCGACAAAAATAGACAGTACTCGAGGAAGAGAAAAAAATCTCGCTTATTAAATGCATAAGATTTATTTGAATACTATTTTTAGATGTCTAGTCAATATCCAACAAGTACAACAGTTTTACGCTCTAGTCCTTCACGCAGAAAATGGTTTATTGATTTACAAATTCGTAAACATGAACGCTTAGCTGTTACAACTAATGAAAATAATTTAATAACGACAATCACAAATAATAATAAACTTTTATTATCACCAATTGGTTACAGTGAACAACGAGTATCAGATTCAATCATACAAGAAGATGATGAACGTTTATTAGCAAAACGTTCATGGGATATTGCATTACAACCAATAAAACAATTACCAATGAATATTATTTTAGCATGGATGGCTGGAAATACATTTTCACTTATGTCAATTATGATTGTTGTTATGTTATTTATGAAACCTATACAAGTAGTCTTCAATGATCTTTTTCTTTTATATTTAAATGAATTTAAATTATTTTTTTTTAGGCAATATTTTCACTTAGCTCAGCATTTTCATCATTAGAACAAGAAGGGCTAGTTGGAAATATATGGTTACATAAAATAATGTATTTTTTGGGTAATCTTACACATTTAGCATTAGCTTTATATAAATGTCAATCAATGGGTTTATTACCAACATATAATTCAGATTGGATTGCATTTGCTGATCAACAAACTCAAATGGAAATGACATTTGGAGGAATTACTTATTCTTAATTCAGACAAAACAGAATTTTTTTCTCCTTTTTTTCTCTACGAATTAATCTAGTCGTTGTTTTGTATTGATGTTTTATTTAAAAACAAAAATATTTATATATAAATAAATGAGAATTTATAGAAATCAAAATGATCGATATGGATTTTTAATCCATATTAAATTTGATTGTAAATTTTTATTAATAGAAGATGATTCATGTTCAATAGTTGATAAAAGTGCATTATTATTTGAATGTATAGATTGACATGATTTATGTTTTGTTTTATAAAGATTTTGAAATGTTTGTTCAGAAGATATAGGTGATTGATCAATAATTAGAGATGGATGTGAAGTAAAACTAGCATTTGTAACTAAGTAAACGAAAAAAAAAAAGACAAGATGACAATCAAAGCTATGAATGTCTCGATATTTCGTAAAAAATAAATAAACATTTCTACGAAACTATTTAATGCCCGTGATATTCACAGTTCATAACAATAAATTTCTTTCGTGTTGCTCTTATTCGAAACTTAAATAATCTACAATTCGATCAGCCAAGTAGTGATCGAAGTATATATCATGTATCAAAATGTTTTTCGAGGATGCTGTGAATTCATTGCTTAATTATGTATATGATTCATTATTGATAATCAGCTGTCATTGTTTTGATTGTTTCGATCCTTGAAACAATAACTAACGAGGAAACCTTTTCATCTGCCCCAATTTTTTGTCTATAGATACATAAATCGATCTTGTCCTGTTCAAGGTTTTCATTATTGCTCCTGCTGATAATGTGCAAAAGTTACTGAAGATGAACAAAAACTTATATTTGAGATTCAAAAATGTTTACATTATCTTGAAATATCAATCTAGATCGAATGCGTACACGATCGACTATAGAAATTCTCTGCTTAGCACTCACTAATATAGGTTGGTTGTTGAATATCTTCTTCATTTGTTATTCGTTGTTCAGTATTATTATTACTATACCACGTTGGATAAGCTTGATAAGGATAGCAAAGATAGATAGCTGGTTGCATAAAAGAAGCAATTGGTGAAACTAAAGTAGGTGATTGTGTAGTATTCACACATGTATTAGTTAATGATGTCATTGGTTGTGTTATATTATTATCATGTTTAATATTTTTAATTGATTGAATATCTTCTTTTTCTTGTTCGATTTTAATCGATTGTTCATCATCAATATCATTATTTAATAATTTTAATTTTTCGTAAGCTAAATTTAATAAATCTAAAACATGTTGACTTTGATCAAAAAAATGAAATAATTTTGAATAATCTTCAACTGCTTTTGAATATTCTTGTTTTATCATCCAACATGCAGCACGTACAACATATGCTAATTTATTCCATTGATTAAATGCAATTGCTTGTGTACAATCATCAATTGATTCAAAACATTTTTGTTCTAATAATAATGTTGTAGCACGTGATGCTAAAATTTCTGATTTTAATTTACAATTATATTTACTATCATGTAAGAGATTTGTATAAATGGAATAAGATAAAGAATAATTGCCTTGTTTAGCAGCAAGCATTGCTAATTCACGCTGAAATGAACAAATACAATGTTCAAATTCGATTCGTATTTTTGAACGATAGTTTAGTATAGAGACTTAAAAATGAATTCAGGTAAATTGTACTGATTATAAAATGATAAGGTTTTACTGTTTCATCAAGTATTTTTTGCTGTATACTGAAGAAAATTAGGCTAACACGAAGATAGTCACTTTATTTTTTTTTTGAATAGGAACTCTTTCAGACCTGTTTTTCATAATGTTCTAAATTGCAAACTTGTTTAGTAAAATTTAATTCATTCATTAATTTTCCTGTTTCTGACTTTGTTAAAGTAACTAATCGAGTTTTTCGTCGTGGTGGAATATTCGCATGATTTTTTGATGATAACGAATGATTTTTTAAATGTTTTTCTAATGTAGCTTGTAATTGTTGATCAATAAATACATCAAAATCTGTTGATATATTCGATGATGATGAAAGTTGTTGTTGCTGTTGTTCAATATGAACAGCAGTTGGATTTATTGACGATTGTTGTTCATTAGGAATTGGTAGTGACGTTGTTGGAGCTAAAGATGATGATTGATCATCAAGAATAGTTGTAGCTGCTGAATTAACTTGATAGGAAGTCGCATGAGAATTAAAGGTTGTTATTGTTGGTTGATTTCCAGTTTTTTCTGATTCTTGACATATCTAAACGGCAAATTTAAATATGTTTATAAAAATGATTATATCTCTTTTTCTTTATTTTAAATACCGCTTGTAAATTTTGATTTGACTGAACGGATATATGATTTGAATGATGTTGTGAAGATTTCTTTCGATAATGATTATCATTCGATGATAACGATGTGGATGAAGAATCATAATAATAACGTTTATTAGAATGTTCTTGATTTTTAAATTCATTATTATTATCTACATCGTCATGTCCTAATGATCGATCACATCGTTTATCTAAGAATGAATGAGTAAAAAAAAAAAAAAGAGATTTCACTTTTAAGGTCTTTGATTGTACCTGGTTCTTGTGAATTCCATGAAGGATTCAATATATGTTGTTTAGGTTTATGAATTGATGTTTGATTAGAATTTGAAGGTTTGTCTATTGATTGTTGATTAAAACCTGACACATATGAATCGAGTGTACGCATTGAAGGCGGCACAGGTACTTGTTGTTGTTCATCATCACCAGCATCATCATTATGTAAGTCATTATAATCACCATCACCAATTATTTTCTTCGATTTTTGACGTTGTCGACCAGTTTCTGTTTTCTGAACAATTTCAGATATTTTCAATAGAGCATCAATTATAGCTTTCTCAGTTCGACGACGTTGTATGAAACCGTCTTTTTTCATTGATGAAAATATAAAGAAAAGTTAAGAGAAAAAAAAAATTCTAGAGAAATGATACAAGAAAATTGTTTTAATAGTTTAAATAAGCGCCAATCTAGTATATAGAACATCAACTATGTAGATCTTTTTCTTTTTTATTTGATAAAACCCAAGAACAAAAAAACAAAGAAAACACAAATCTATTGTTCATAAGTAACAAACGGATCAAAAAACATTGTTTGTGTGTAAATTGGCTCATTAGTATAGACCGAATGAGATGTTGATGGATAGTAATAATAATATGATGAATTATCATTATTGATATTATATGGACAATTTGATTGATGATAAATGCAAGATGTTTGATGCATAGGAGAATTGATGGAGACTGGATTTGTAATTGTTGACGTGTTTAATGTTACAGATTTCTTCTGTTTTTTAAGTCGACGCTATAAAAAAAAAAGTTAGAAAATTTTCATTAACAATAATTTGATTTTATTCACTCGATGATTTTGAAACCAATTTGAAATTTGAATAATATTACAATTTAAAAGTTTAGCTAAACGTTCTTTTTCATTTATATCAGGATGTGTTTGACGAGCAAAACTTGCTTCAAGTATCGTTCGTTCTTCACGTGTATAAACATGACGAGATTGAGAAGACATTTTTTATGAATTGAACATTATTTGGATAATATTTGCATTGATATGGACAACGATTAAATGAGCTCATCGGATTAATTAATTAATTGTCAATGAATGATAAGAGATCAAACGATTGATCAAAAAAAGAAAAAAACTGACACTGTTATGAGTTTATTGTTACAGAATGAAAAAAAAATAAACGAATATACAAACTGTTCATATATTTTAATTGGATATAATTTACTTACGGGCAGAACATTTTATTGAGACAAGAAAAACAAAAACATTTCTTTGTGCTTACGTTATGATTGAATACAGATTCGAAATAATTATTTCGATAATCTTTGATATTTTACGAGGGAATTTTCTTCACTCATATCTGCCATTTGAGCTCAGGTTGAGTCAAACACGAAACCTTTTGCTGCGATCAGCATAAGTCTAAAGTGATTCGCCTTCAGGTTGTCTATTTCTAACGCAGATAATCGAAAAGAGATACGAACAAATCTTTGTTGATCAAATTTCATGCTACATATATTTATCTCAATCAACAAAAAAAATTAGCAGAACGATATTTTTATATATATCGCCGATGAGATTCGATACAAGTTTTCTTTATTAAAATTAAAGACTCTAGACTCCTAAGCTCAAAGGTTATTATTAAAAATCCTTGATAGGTACAAAAGTTTTGTCAGAGTTGAAAAGTATAGTGAATTTCATGTATTTTATTAAAAAAATTATTAAGTTTATATTTCTTTCTGTTCAAAAAAGATATGGTCAAAATTTATTATTTGATAAGAAAAAAAGCGTGTTTTGATTTAATTTGTCACTTAATAAGAAAAAAAAAATATTGAATTGATCTGTTTATTTAAACACATGTATTACTGGTAGAATTCCATGTAGTTCCTGTAGAACAATCACAAACATTCAGTGTTGGATTATTCCATACCATATTTCCAGGACATATACAATGTCCTAAATAACAAACAAGATTTGCTGTACAAGCATATTGTCCTGGACATGTTCCATTAAATGAATGTCTAGCCGTACATCGTTGTCCATCCCAAAATTGACTCGATGAACAATCACATATGTATGCATATGATGTAGAATAACAATTACAACCTGTGCTTACAGATGGACATGTAAGATTAACTGTTGTATTACATTGAAAATCATATTGACATGAAACAGCATAAGTTTTCTAATAAAAATTAAAAATTCAAATAAAATAAAATGTAATTTTTAGCAAACTTACTTTTGATTGACACCAATATGTTGTTACATTGTCCCAATAACTATAACTATCACACTGGCAAATATTTGATACACATGTTAAACCTCTCGTCGTATCACACGGAATAGATGCAGAGCATGCTTCTCCGCCAAGAGCATCTATATGAATAAATAAAATTCGAAAAATAATAAATAAATATCTTTATAAGCCATTTTACTTTGTACACATATTGATCCATTCCAATAGGATGTTGAACCACATCGACATCTAAGATCTGTGGTATTAATACACGAAAGACCTAACCAATCTCGGCAATCAGTTGTTGTTAGACAACTTTCATTATATGATAATCTAGTAACACAAGTTCCTGCATTAACACCAGATGTTTGCAAATAAGTAGTATTATCACAAACACACACATTTTGACCAGTAGTATATGTTTGATTAACTACTTGCATACATGTTAAAGTTGGTTGACAAGGTACAGGATTACAAGGATCACCATAATAACCATAATCTTGACATTTAAAATCAACCCACATTTGATATGAACCACATGTACAATTTTGTGCTGTTGAATTCCAATGATAATTACCTGTACATATACATGTTCCAGATGGACACCAAAGCATTCGTGTTTCATCACATGAACGAGAATTCATATAACATGATTCACCATAAAGTAAATATGGTTGTGTTATGACTTTTGGAATTTTTATCCAATAAGCAAGACCACCTTTTAATATTATATAATATTTAAAATATAGATTAAAAAAGAAACTATTTACTTACCAATTCCACCAGCTAATGCTACAATAACTAAACATGAAACTAATGCTGTTTGCCATCGTCGTGTTAACAATGCATTTTTACTAGCTAGTTCTGATCGATGTGATTTACGTAATAAGCTTTCATTTTCAATTTCAACCTGATATAAAGTTTCTTCAGGTACTTCACCATCTCGTTCTAAAACTTTTTGAAATCCAATATCATTGGCTGATAATGTCGATGGTTCACGAAAAAGTGAACTATTTAGGAAAGTAGAATCATCCATCAATGGACTAACTGAATTTTGAGGGAACATTTGTCGACGAGATGAAGCCGAACCTGATACATTCATCTTTTATTTGTATGAATATTTGATAAAGAAAACCGTTTACGTATATTTACAGTACAGAAAATGAATTTTGTTTGTACACGAATCTTTTCAATCGTGTATTTGTGACAAAAAAAACGAAGTTGGACGGAGGTGATGCATAATGAAGTTTTTTTTTTAATATTTGCACTGCTGTTAGTAAACGAACAAAAATATTGACTTAAGTATTAAATAAACTACTGACATTGTTTTGATCGCCTACTGAATTTTAGACTCGTACATTTAAAAACAATTAACGAATAAAAAAAAACGAAACGAAGAATCTTTTGCGGCATTTAAATCATAATAAATTGATCAATTCACTTACTGCCATTCTTTAGACGAACGATCAGTAAAATTATAATATGAAAAAAAAAATTAGTTTTCTACCAATATTTATATATATGTAAATTGATTGAATGATTGAAAAATTGATTCAACTAATGCTTTCATTTGCAATCACATATGTCTAGTTATTAGTAAACAAAACCTGTTGAATATGATTAAACTCTCTTGTTTTTCTTTAATACATTTTTGACTTCGACATATATAAAAAAAAATTTTAACTCGTGCTCTACAATAACTTATAATAAGGATTTGTCAAATTACATCTTTCTTAAGAAAAAAAGACCATACAATTACTTGTAAGTTTTTCTTTTTGAAGCGTGTTGAGTTTCTTTCGATGCAACAATCTACTCTGTTTATCTGAAAAGAAAAGACAATCGTATCAATAAAATATTTTTTCAAAGTTTCAAACTGTCTGAAAACCTTTTAAGTGACAAATTTATTCGTTATACATTTAACCATAATGAAATTAAAAATATAGCTATGACATGCTGTTTGTATAGATATCAATGCAAGAAACAGCTGTCGAATTCATTATAAAGAATTCGAATATTATTCTTTTGTTTTTTTGAAGTGAACAGTTTTCCACTTATTTTATTATCTGCGGATGTGAGCATGGAACGTTGTAATTATCTTATTTGGGAATGCTCACACCTAAAGTTTTTTCAATCAATTTTCTAAAAATCCTTCTTTAAACATAAGAAAAAAGTAAAATTTTTTTTTCACAAAAATTCCTTGAAAAATTGACCGAACATGTCCCATGTAAAAATGTATGCAAAATTTAACGATTTAACGAAATTTAATGTTACCTTTCTGTCCTTGAAAACGCGTTAAAATAATATTAACGTAGAGAAACGAGTGAAAATTCGTTAAATTCATATTTTAACGCGTTTTCAAGGACAGAAAGGTAATATTAAATTTCGTTAAATCGTTAAATTTTGAATACATTTTTACATGGGGTGTATCAGAATATCGATAGCTCTTCAACGATTAAATCTAAATATGTGAGGCTTTCGTAGATCTTCCGTTCGCGGTTCGCATGCGTACCTTACAATTGAAAATTGACTGTAATCACTCCATACGATAAGTTGGTTTTCAAAAAGATTGATTGAAACCTTAAAAAAACCATGTCAAAAAAGCTTGCGATACACGATTCGATGTGTCTACATTTTCAATTTCTAAAGATGAAAGCCGCTCCTTTCTGTCTTGTTTTTATCAAAAGTTATTCAAAAAATATTCACTCGTCTTTTTTGACATGGGCATTAGTCTAAAAATTTTGGGATTTAATGTTGAATGCAATAAAAGGATCTGATTGTAGAAAGCAGTCAGTAGGGCGATGGTATTATTGACCTAGTAGAGTTAGAGTAAGATAAACATAAACAAATATAAGGTAATTCAATTCTAACTTTCGGCAAAATTCAACAACACATGTCAGAGTTTGTCATGAGAGACGATAGTGCGCTCGGAAACTTACTGAACAATTAAATCAATGTGCCAAACAGGTGAACATGATAGTTGGATCGACAAAATGCACCGTAAGATTATATTTGACGCTTCCTATGACTAGGGGCCTGCCTATGGCATGTATAATATATATGTTGTGACCGAACTTGGAATTCAGCGCAATTCAGAATTCATCCGAAATTGTTGGTCGAATTCTGATATTGTCCAGGCAAAGTTTAGCCCAATTCAGAATTCGACCAACAATTTTAGACGAATTCTGAATTGGACTGAATTCCAACTTCGGCCATAACATATATATATATGGGGTTGGCCACTCTGACCGGATGTCCTAATGCTTTTTTCTATCGTTCAGTTTCTATAATATATCAGAAAAATCTAATTTTTTTAAATAGTAATAATACTTGCATAATGCTGATGATCTGCCAAGGATAGGAGGTTTATCTCTTGTTTGAAGCCACAATAATTAAGTGTCTTTGGAACCACCTGTTAGTAAATATCAAAAGACTTTTGGAGATACTTGATTATTTTCGCTTTAAACAAGAAATAAACTCTTTCTTTTTGGCAGATCATCAGCATTATATGAGTACTATAACTAGCAAAAAAATCAGATTTTTCTGATATACTATAGAGACTGATTGATTAAAAATAGCATTGAGACATCCAACCAGACTGGCCAACCCTATATATATTATCATTTGGAGAAGAAAAGGTTGTGTTGAAGATATATTTGACAAAATAAATAAGGTTTGCCAGTATTAAGATATTAAATGAATCTAATAAATTGATAGTATAGGAATTCTCAATGCAAACATTTTCGAAATCATCAAGTTCCAGAGTGTGTGTGTATTAACTATCAAAATTGTTCTAATTTTCACTTATTCATCTATGTAGAATCTTTAAATAAATTATTTTAAAATCCCTGACAATATATCATTAATTCATAACAGTCACAGTTTGTATGTTCCCTACTTTGATCATTCATGGAGCCGCACTGGTAAATTCTTTTTTGTTACTTCACTTTATCCATTTACTTAAATAAAATTTATAACAATGCAGTAAAAAAGAACTGAGCATATTAGTCTTATTGATATTCTATTTAGTTTCAATAATCAATCTACAGAAAAAAAATATTTGAGCAACAACAATGTTTTGAGCAAGAAAAGAATTATGATTTCTAGTACGCAAACAGAAAATTTTAACCTCCTGAATACCGACAATTCTTGCGTTCTTTACGAGCTTATAGAAAAATCGAAAAATCACTCTCTCTCGCCTCGCCTTCTATCGTCTTGAATCAGCTGTATATATGTATATTTTATCGTATATAAAATGTTCACTGCTGCAGCCGTACGGATAAACATTTCGTTTCGCAGCTGTTTATCGATACGACAGAACGAAAAAAAAAATTCTTTCGTTCTGTTTGTCTTCAGCCTGAAGACAGCGGTCCCCAGTTAACTACTTTAACAAAAAAAATCGAACAGTAGAAGAAAATTGTGAATTCTCGTAAAACAAAAAGACATCAGCAACAAACTAATTCTAACTACTTTAACAAAAGATATTTTGCGAAGAACAAAATAATTTTGAGTTCTTTTACAACAAACAAACATATAGTTTAGCGCTAACAAAAAAATTCAACTACTTTTACAAACAAAATAGAACAGTAAGATGAAGAAATTTGTGAATTATTGTAGAACAAAAAGACATGAGTAACAACAAAGCAATCTTAACTACGTTTACAAAAACAAAAAAGCATGATCAAGGAAATTTTTAAGAAGAAAACATTGAGTTCTTGTAGAACAAAAAGTCATATATCAAAAATAGAAACATGTGAGGGGCTTATACAACACAATTGATGTCACCAAGAGTAAGAAAGTTTTTGAGTCAAAAAATAATATTTGAACGACCAAAATTTATTGAGCAATTCTGTCTAACATGTTGTCCATCATAAGTCGAATGATTTCATCATCATATTCCTGCTGTCGCTGTTGTAGTTGGTTGTTGAAAACCTGTTGTTGTTGATCAATATAAGCATTAAAATAACTATTTTGAAAAAACAATAAATTCCAATAGTCCCAATGGATACTATTCCACCGATTAAGTGCACGTTGCTACTGTCGTTGTTGAACAAGATTAGGATCAAGGTTCTTTAAAAAAAATAATATTAGATTGTGAAAGATATTTTAGAAAACTTGTTTCCTGGTCGTTCAACACTTCCTGATTGTTCGTGTTCGTATTATCCATACTCATTTTAACGTCAACAATGAAAACAATGAATGAATCAATCTAGAACTGAATAAGATTTAGAATTATTTGTCTCACCTTACCGACATTTCTGTCACAATCTGTCAGTATTCTACTCTCTATTTACAGAAACCTACTTTTAAGAAGCCCATTGGAATAGTCCTTAAAGAAATATAAACCGTGTAAAAATAGAATAAGTTAATAATAAGTAAAATAGGCCAGTTGGGCGTCTATTTAAAGTTAAGCACTTGAAAACAATAAGTCTTTGTGCTTCCACAGATCTTTGCTCGTTCTGAACAATGAAAAAAGGCGCTGATCACCTCATCAGATGTCACTAGACGCCAGTATTCGCTGATTCATAAAGTGTAAATGTTTTATTGGTTATGGCATGTACTATCAAAATTAATCATAGACAGAAGTGAATAGTACGGAGTATTTTGTAATTCGTTTGTTTCGAAAGACATCTTTTATGTAATAAATTTTTTTTCATCACTTCGAAAACACAACTTCAGAGAGGCTTATTGTCTCAATTCTATTAGTAGATTCATAAAATTGACATAATTCGACTTTTTTAGTTTAATTGATCAAATAATTTTAAAAGACAAAAATAGATTTCTTTGAAATGTCCATGGATGATGATGTATTAGTATGGATCGATTTAGAAATGGATGAACTAGATTTAACCAAAAATTTTATCTTAGAAATTGCTTGTATTGTTACCGATTTCGGTTTAAAAAACATTTATCGCGATATTTTCTTATATATGTATATATATTTTATTGATGAAATATTTTCTAGGACCTGATCTTGTTATTCATCATACAAAATCAGGTCTTGTTCAACAAGTTCTACATAGTAAATTATCATGTTGTTTGATATAAATTATTACGAATATTTGAATTTGTTTCAACAAGTCTTGTTTCTGGCGTTCCACTTTCATCGTCATCAATTGAATCGAATAATTTTTTTGTTCTTTTTATTAACTTTGGGCTAGTTGATTTTCCATCAATATTAGTTAATGATTGTGTATTTGATATTAATGATTTTTGATTATTATTTGTTTGTGATGAATCGATTGTATGTGTCGGAGACGTAATAAGAACTTTTTGTTGTTGAATTTGTTCTTGTTGTAATCGTACAAATTCTTTTGTTATACTATCAGATGGTTGAGAAACAAAACGGATTTGATTTTAAATCAAAATGTGTTTCATCATTAACTTGTAATTGAGCATGTCGTACACTAAATTTTATCAAATAAGAAATAATGCAAGAGAAAAGAAAGTTATCTTGAAATATATTAGAATGAGATGGATGGAAATAAGATATTAATATTGGCAAGATATATATATATAGAATCAATCGTAATTCGCTTGTATAAGTCTGAAATTCTATCTCACATTTTAATTTTCTTGATTATTGTTATATAATTATTCATTTTTCAAAACCTTGCTAAGTTTGAAAAACTGCGACTGTGAACGACCGTACTTAATCAAAAACGGTTGGTATATATGACAATGTATCTTTTCTGAGTAAAATTCAATTTCTAAATTTTACTCTACCCTAAAAAGATTATTTCTCACTCTCCTTTAATCACAGTCTACTTGGAAGACTTCAGAAATGATCCATAGTAAAATAGTGTTACTTGTTTGTGATTTATTTGTTTCTTATTATAAAGCATTAACGTAATTTCTTTTAAAATTTCCTATGAACAACACGGTGTAGCCTCAGACGAACTTTTTGACCCTTGAGTATGCCATAACAGACAAATTAAAGCTACACAAAAAAAACTTTATTTGAATAAGTCCACATTCACATAAAAAATTGAACAGAGCTCTTGCTCAGGTGTGAATCTTTTATTCACCGTCACCTTGTTTTTTGAAGACTTTGAAATTGACATTGTACAATAAGAATAGAGTGAAACAAACAATACTGAAGACTTTATGAACAAATGAAATAAAATTAATTTGACCACTCTGTTTGTTTCTGTAAAGATAATTTACTTAGTTATGAAAGTGAATACAATATAGTAAATCATCAGTATCCTAAGATGTCGTATGTCTACATGCATTTTTTTATGTTGAACTAAGTCATCTCCTATTGACTTTATCTCTAGTTGAGTTAATCAACGAAACTCATATGTGTTGTCACTCTTTACCTCTTATATGAAGTAGTTGAAATGCCAAATAATGATGTAGCTATATTTCCTATTCATTGCAATAACTATTTTTCTTCTATTCGTTCAAATATTCGTATAGGAGAAGTTTTGCTCAAAAATAATCATCGTTCAATGATCTTGTTAGGATAATACGTGTGTCATGACTTTGTTGGTTCTATTATTCTCACTTCGCTTTACGTTACTAGATTCTTCCTTCCGAGATTCAATGCTATTCTACCATGACATACTGATATTTGTTTTCCGATCGATAACCTAAAGCTGATATATTATCGGCAAAGCAAACAGACGTACAATATGAGATATTTTTATCCTGCAAATCTGTAGTGTGGGCGTCATTGCTAAAGATAAAGTCACGTACGACGGTTGGATATACGTCGCATCTTGTTACACAATACACGACAGAACACAATCGTGATTCCGGAGTCAAGTATTATATAGAAATCTGATCGTATATAATCTTATATGGCTACTCATGGCGTCGTATAAGACCTTCTTATGCAACCGTAATCTTCATCTTGGGTAGTTGAGACTAATAAATCATGAATTCTTACGTCTTGTATATCAGCATAACATATTGGAAAGAAGACATAGAAATATATAATTAAACCGATAGAAACTGAGAGAGCACTCTTATGATCTAATAAAAGACCAAGATCATTGTAGTCGTAATTTGACCAGAAGTTCGGAACAAATTCAAATCAAATTTTCACGATTCTTTGAAACAGTCTAAATATTAAGACTAAAATTTAATCTAGTGTTTAGTAAAAAATATGCATTATGAATTATTTGAGAACCGGAAATGTAAATATATGTCGAATGAAGAGAAAATGACTTCTAATGATAGAATATATCTCTTACTTTAAAATTAAGATGTAAACTGACATAGAAGAAGAGTTTCAAATCGTTTTGCACAAAAATTTCATTTGGAAAGAGATTCAAACAAAATAAAAACAGGGTGTGGGTGGATGTGAGTGTAAATGAACTGAAGTCCTTTACTCAGCCCTAACCCGCACACCCACACCCTCAAAAAACCTGTTGCCGTCAACGTATCAACTAATAATGCAATAATCAATCAACTTTAATTTTGAATTGTTATCACTGTTTTGTTCAACAGAAATATTAATTTTTAATTCAGAAGTACTTCAAAAAATCTAGCATAATTGAATTTTTCTTCTCTTTCCATACCGTATATGATACTCAATTGTCGCCAAGTAAGGATGTGAGTGTACCTGAAGAACGACAGCACGTACATCCACCCACTCACCTACACCCCAAATGTTTGATGTGATAAAGTATCAGAATTAACGATCTATTTAGCCATGCATGCGACATGATCAGAATACAATTTAGAATTTGAGACTAAAACCTTGGGATTTGTATTTGCTTTTAAATCCCAAAATCCTCTTCTGATCTTGCCACATCCCCAGTTGAGTAGATCGTTTTTTCTATCATTCTAACTTACCAAACATTTAGAATTTCGGTTATTCAAGAGCAAATCCGAATCTAAGCTCCTGAATCCGATTTCCAATCTAATCTCAAATCCAAAGTAAATAATCGTGAATACTAAGGCTTTGAATTTGTTGCGCTCGTAGATAATTCGTAGGCATATAGTCAGGAATTCTTCATGGATAGGGGCGAACAATGTCAAATAAAAATTTTCGTCAGGTAAAACTAATGTATTCGTACTTTGTCAGAGAATTTCTTCATAAGGGAGGAGGAGGTGAAGTTCCTTTCAGCAACCTCCTGTCTTACCACCTTTTTAAGTCAGTCCTTTACATTCATAGAATACATTCATGTACTCAATGTTTTTTCTACAATATGTGAAATTAAAAGTATAAGGGAAAATTTATTTACGTAGAATAAATGATGAAAAAAAGTAAAAACGGACATAAAATATCGCAAAATTCCGAAGTAACAATGCATTTAACAATGGATTCGGCTATCTTTCCATGGGATATGTCTTCGAAGCCAACTGATTTTATTTCTCTGTATATCTAGTTTGATTAGTGTCTGCATGTATGAAAGATGAATATGTAATAGATGAAGAAACAAAGAGAAGAATTACCTTATTGTTTCGTAATGCCTTATCGAAATGTTTTGCGCCTTTATTAGTGATATTATTCAAAACAAGATCGAGTATTCTGAGTGTCTGTATGTAGAGTATATATGATGGATATCAGAAAACAAAACTAAAAAGCAGTTGAGATCACTATGTTATTTTGTAAGGCATCAGCCAGATTTTGTGCCCCATCATCTCCAATTTTACAGCCACCAAGACGCAGTATTGTGAGTGTCTGTTTGTACAGAAAAATATGGATAGGTAAGGGAGTGTTGAGAAGATTGAGTTTTACGGAATTGTTTTGTAAGGCATCAGCGAGATTGAGCGCCCCATTGTCTCTGATATCGTTCTTACTAATGTCCAGTTCCATGAGTGTCTGTGTTTAGAAAACTGAGTCCATATGCGATAGATGAAGAGAAAATGAAGATCACTGTATTGTTTCTTAACGCAACAGCGATATATTGTGCCCCATTGTCTTCTATTCTGTTTAACGCAAGATTCAAAGAGGTAAGTGTCTGTTTATAGAAGAAAAAATGAATATGAGAAAGATGAAGAAAGAATGATAAATACTGTGTTCTTAAATAAGGCATCAGCAATATGTTGTACCCCGCACGTTTCAATTCGATTTCCTTTGATTTCTAGTTTGATGAGTGTCTGTGTGTAGAGGAGATGAGAGACGCATGAGAGAAATGACAAGAGAGTGAGGATAACCTTATTTTTCATTAAGGCTAGAGCGAGATATTTCGCCCCAACATCGGTGATTGCATTGAAATTTAGGATCAGTGTAGTGAGTGTCTGCATGTTGAGGATAAGATAGACATGAAAGATATGTAGAGGTACTGATGGGCACCGCATTCTCAGACAAGGCATCAGCTAGATATTGCGCTCCTTGCACTCCGATATCATTCGATATAAGAGGCAATGTAGTCAGTGTCTGTATAAAAGTAAGGATGCATATGAACGAGATGAAGGAATAATGAGAGTTACCGTATTATTTCGCAAGGCATCCGAGAGGTATCGTAACCCATCGTCTCCCAATTTGTTGTGGAAAGAATTTAATGTTGTGATTGTCTGTTTGCAGAAGAAAATATGTAGGCGAAACAGGCAAACAGAGAATGAAGTTGTATCTTGGCATGTCTTATTGAATTGAAGATCAAGATTAGAGATATTTATCGATAGATTTGTTCGGCAGACAGGGATCGTTTTGGAATATATGGACTAGCCTTGTGAATATTTGCACTCTCGAGCAACATAGTAAAGAAGAGTCTTGGTACTGTGAACGTTTTCGTAAAATTTCAAAGCCCTTAATAGTTATATGTTGAAAATCCGACTAATATCGACATAAAAACTGCCCCATAATTATCTGACAATCAAAGACGGTTCATGCAAAACGGAGTTGGCAGTTAACGTCTCTGATACTTTCGACAAACATAATTTATGGAACTTAACTTTAATATTTCCTGAATAGTATTCTGATTTATGAGAAAAGCAAACAATCATAGAAAAGCGTGAAACAGTGAGCAGTGAGCATCTCTTCTCTGATAACTTTTTCTGAATGTTTTGTTTCAACTTGTGTTTATTAGTTATTACACGCATACTTACCATTTTGTTTTGTTTATTTTGGTAGAATGTGTTCAAGAAAACTTCTGAATTAATATTTAGATAATAAATACATTTTGAAAAGATCCGTTGATAACAAATTTAGAGACGTGAGAGGGAAGAATTTTCTTTTCAATTAGTGAAACTACTTATTAAAGCAAACGGAATGTCAGATGAAATAGGCAGGTCATGACTAATAAAAAATGCTATCCTAATAATAAAACATTTCAAACTGCTTCGAAAAGAGAAGTAAAGCATCGTATGGAAAATATCAATACTTGAAGAAATACTAACGACATACTACTGTACACAAGTTCACTGAATAGAAGCTTTCATTTCTTTTCGCGCTGAGCACTATAGAATTGCCAGTTTCCCTGAAAAATTTCTCTGATACTAGC